AAAAAAATGAGAATATTACCAAAGTTAATCAGAAAATTAGTTTCAAAACAACAGGTGCAAAACGAGACATGAGGCGGCGGGTTGGTTGGGGTGGTTGGGGTGAAAGGGAGAGTGGCGGTGGTGTGGGGTGCAAAAAACAGGAGGGAAAAGTTGCAGGGGCAGGGAGGGGGTGAGCGAGTGCCCAAGCGGTGCCATTCACTAGCAGCAGTGCCAGCAGGGGTGTGCCCTAATGCAGCGGCCCTGCGCGCTTAGTGAACGAACGCCGCCATGCGCGGCACAACGAATATAGCGAACAATCAGTTATGTTAAACGATAAATTCAGCGATAAACCAGTTATTTCAGACAACAAATGCAGCGATAAACCAGTTATTTTAAACAACAAATGCAGCGATGAACCTATTATGTTGAGCTACAAATACAGCGATGAACCATTCACGAATGACGATAAATCTACCCTAATTGTACGGTGCAACATTTCGGCAAATTATTGTCGCTTCAATACAGGCTGCTGATAATTCCAACGTGAAATAAATACTATTATTTATTTCACGAAATAACTTCAGGTGTGATACTAATTAAATAAATATATCATTTATGACAATTAAAATGAAGATTTAAGAAATGACAACTTAGTCACCGCAATCCATGTCAATAAAAAATTTAATCATCGCAATAAATACCAAAAGATAATTTGATCGCCACTATACAGATCTTAGATAAATTGCATGGTCACCACAACACATGTTAATAAATAATTAAGTCTCCGCAATGACTGCCACCAGACAATTCGGTCACCATAGTACAATTGTAATAATATTTAACTGTTGTTGTAAGATGCAATTGTCCAGCAGGACCAGCACAGTTCCACACTCGGACAGTAAACTCTCCTACTGTTCGCATAAAATAACGCAAATGACGTCATCAATAGATGTCATCAAAGAAATCATGCACTGCACGTACTTGACCAATTCAATAACTGCTGCAGGCTAATTCTTTCTCAAAGTAATAAGGAATTACTCACTTCACTCCAATTTAATCACCGCAACACATGTCACTGTCAGCGACACTACGATAAATGAACGGGTTATTTTGTCCAAATAGCGAGGTCATTTTGTTCTAATTTATACACGTAGCACTGATACGCCCTCATACCGGCCCAAAGTGGGTCACAATGACCCAACAAAGTCTCTTATTCCCTCGATCATTTGCCTGTGTGTATTTCGGTAGTTCCGGCAAGGCACACTGACAAATTCAGTCACCGGAAAATACATTACACTAATACACTGTAATACACTGTAATACACTGTAATAATACACTGAAAATGCACTGTACTAGTTAACTTGGTGACTGAAACATACCTAACAAAAATTCATTTGTATAAATCTACGTGTACCTGAATAGTTCCGCTCATCGGTAATTAATATCTACTTTTTCAATAATAACTCGTTTTATACTAGAAATTCTTCAACATTCCGTACACAGATCAAAATAATTACATAAACTCGCCCAACAAAGTTGCCGCAGTTGAACTCGCCCAAAATGATTGCCAGCAACAGCATCAATGAACACGCCACCCATACTGTAATTGCATACCATATACCTTAACCCTCCATACCGCCTGACAACATATTGTTAACCCTCTATACCGCCGTACCTCAAACAATATATTGTCAGGAGTCTACTTCCCAAAAATAATATGTTCTAGTGAGCGCAAAATGACTTGCACTGATGGTTGCCGCCACGTACGACAACTTTAAAATGTTCTCTATTGCGTACAAACGCCCTCAGATTGCTACACTCAATAGTTTACGTAATATTTAATTTGAAAGTTATGTTCCCGGAGAGTGACACACGGCGGTGTAGGGTTAAGATCATCAACTGAACTCCGCCTATACGTCACAACCATGCACAGTCGGCGCAGCGCAGTGAGCAGCAGGTCTTGTAAAGTTCATCCAATTTCCCGGCCCTGGCGACGCGGTGCTTCACGCCGCAGCCGACCCGAGCAGAAGATATGGCAGTTTTGATCTCCTGTAACCTCTGCGCGTCACGCCTAAAAGGTCACGGCGCTCCGCAGCCACAGTGCTGGACCACGTGCATATGGCACATGCATGAGGTGTACTCTATAGTAACGCCGAGTAAATAACAGTACTTTTAATTATATCTTACGTAGTGTTGATTCGTAGAACCTACGGAAGATATATGTTTCCTTTATATATATAAGGAAGATAAATAAAAAGTAACTGGCTGGCACTGCATCATACGAAAGGAAGATATATGCTCCCTTTCGTAAACGTGAAAAATTAACGTGGTAAAACGCTTATGGAATTTATGGGCTGTGAAACGGGCATAAAATTCTTCCAAATGCCATCTCATGCCCATCAAGAGATCGTAATACGTGCAAGTGTAGGTAAATGGTATTTAAGCAAACCAATACTTCGATTTTCGTCAATTCATATTTGAATAGCAGGTTACAACTGACAAACTGAAGGTTAAAATCCTCATGCATTTACTCGGAAGTCCCCCTGCCAGACTCGTCAGCATGTAATTTCCCCACTGATGGATACGTCACTTCGAACACGAGGAAAAGCTTTTACTCTTGAATTAACAAGGAAAACCAACCAAATTTCCAGTGCAGTTTGAGCAGGCAGTACAATGACTAGAAGTTCTTACCGTCACACAGCAGGACCATGCAGTCATGCCACTAGATAATTCAGCCCTGGTGAGTCAAAAGCATCATTCCGAATTCAAAGGCATCATTCCTGTCCTCAAATGCACTATCACATACCTGGTAAATGTTTATAAGGTACCTTTCAGTGCATACAATTAAGGTTTATGCCAATATGGTCATCAATTTACTTTTCAGCTCCAGTTTTATCAAACTGAATTGTGCCACAACTGCTTAAAAATGTTTCCTTGATAACATCATCTTTCATTCTGTAACTCTTCTAAGCCGTGAAATCTAGTATTCTTGAAACTCTCTCCCTGTCATTTTTTCATCTTCCCTCCGACCGCGTGCATTAAATTGAGCCAACAAATCATGCAGGACTCCCCCCTCACACCTTATCCACCTCACACTGCCCTGCACCGAGATTGACCTTCCATAAATATAAATCGGGCTACCATAAGCGGCGTTGAAAGCAGCACCAATTTTGGCAACATCAGTTTTTATTACGCAGAGCGAGCCATAAATGTAACGACTGCCAGTATAAGGCATGAACTCGACTCCAAGAACTAATTGAGCTCAAAACGTAAGAAAATAACAATAGAAGAAGCGGAGGAGATCTGCAAATGAGTACCAGCAGCCGATATTTTATACGCGCATATATTATCGTGGGTCAGCATTTTTGGCCAAAAATGTCAATACTTTATTATTGTGTCCTAATTTTGATCCTATTCATGCTGCTTCTTCGATGAAGTAAGCACATCACTACAAATTTATAAGCAAACCCGTATAAATAACTAATGGACACAGCTCGACCGTTGATAACCGTCCGTTTTATTAAACATCATCTCGAACCGAGTCAAACTTATCACAATTGAGTAGCGGACTTGAAAATCCTCACGGAACGGATTTAAATTGAAATTATAGGTATGTCAAAAAGAATAGCACATAAGATTTAATAATTATTTGACCAAACCTGAGACAAACAATAGCCGCCCTACGTTGGGCAATAATATGAAAATTCAAGTTGTCTGAGAAACGCGATGCATTTAGAATCAGCATTTTATTCATTCTAAAGTAATTAAGCGTGCTTCGGTTAATCGTCGCTCGTTGATCGACAGTTCGACAGGTATGAATCATGTTATTTACGAGTAGAGTTGCAAAAATTTCAATCGATATAAATTAAAGTTTAAGAACTTTGCTCATCGATCACGAACGCGATTTATCGTTGCTGATATATTTACCGTGAATTTTTTTAGACAAACGAAGCATGTCACTTGCAGAAACACGATTTGCGTGGACGAATGCACTGTGCAGCGACCGACGAGCAAAGGTTCATTACTAACAGGGAGTAATTTTGAGCTTAACTTTTTCGTTCTCGCAAACGAGGAAGTGATTTCTTAATAGAAAATTGGCTATATTGACTTACATTTTTCACAGCCAGACAAATTTACGGTTTTGTGCAGCAATAAATATGACGAAATGGTAGCAATGGCGGGAATTTATGGTTTTATCATAGTTGGATTTAAATGGATTCAGCATAGTTAGTACTCAGCTTCATAGTTCTAATTAATAGTACAAGTGTTTTAACAAGGATGACAAATAAGTTAAAATTTATATATTAGTACAGAAAACATTTATTTCACAGGCTTTAATACGTCAATTTTTTATCAGAAAACAATTGCATGAAAAGTGTACTTCATTTATTAGTTCGTGATCCATGTTATGCGTGATCGTGACGGCTGCATACATAACAATGAATGGTGTACGCCCCATATTCATGAGGTATATAGTTATGTAAGCAATGCATTCTCCATATTATTGGCATATTCAAGACTTTTGTTCAGTCTTTATCAGATAGGTAGTATAAGTAATCCTAATACAGACACAAAAAATGCTATCAAACTTAATAAATCGTACAATTAGTTTTAGTTCAAGCTCATTTTTAAATTTTGAGGAGTGATTTCCGTCCTTCACATCAAATTTTATAATTTTAATCAACCTGTATATATTTATAGGGCTTGTTTGATATTTTAAACCTGTATTTGTCTCCTTTTAAGGTGACAAATATTTGTTATTTGTCTGTCGGTGCGGTAACGCTTGTCATCTTACCAAACTTTGCGGGGGTGAACACATGAAAAATATCAGAGTTGACAAGTTTTATGCTTACCTTCTCAACAGCAATGAAGTCTTCAAATGCAGATTTATCAAACTTTCCAGTCCTTTTAAGACAAAAGGATTTCTTTACGCAACAGCAACGAGGTCTTCAAATGCAGATCAATCTAACTTTCCAGTCCTTTTCATTCAAAAGGATTTTTTTACGCTATTCTTGCTTACCTTCCTCATCTTCCAGGCAAGGTTCTCTTCCTGGACGCTCTCTGGAGAGGCTTTCCGGGACCGCTGCCGGGGGGGAGCAACAGGAGGGGGTGGAGTAGGTGAAGGGGAGGGGCTGCTCTCAACCGGGGCCTCTGCTGTTAAAAAAATGCTACTTACTTGTTACTCAACAGTTTATTTGTAAATTTAAATGTAAATATCATGATGAATATGTACACCAAAATGAGCTTCTCATTCACGAGGCCCTGAATTGAAGTACAACCCTAGAATAGCAGACCTTCCTTTAATAATCAATGAAGAGACTGAATCAGTATGTTTATTATAATTCAAACTGGATGCAGTTGTATCGTATTTGCCATAATATTGAAACAAAGAGGCAGCAGGTTTTCTCAGGAGACTACAATTCAAATCGTGTGGTAATTTGTTGTCACGTGCATAGTAAATATTCTCTTCAACTGTTATGAATCATAGTTAGACAAATTTGGTGATAATCGGTCACCATAAACCCAAATTGGAAATTGATAAGTTAAATAAGTAATATAAATTCATTCCTACCAGCTCACGAACCGGTTTTATTGTAGATCAATACACGGATACGATTTGGGATTGTAGAAACATCCAAGATAATTAGAAACAGCCAGTTCGACTACATCATTGCAGTGATGAATAATGTACTCGTACATTATTATACTTATAGAATTCGTAATTTGCTTTTCACTTTGTTACCCTATGTAACATGTTACAGAAAACGTGTTCTCTCTCTCTTTCACAAGCCTGCATTTAGTTTTACCATTACCTAACCAAATAAAATAACTGAGTGAATAAAATTTTGAATAAACTCCAATTTAAAAGATACTTATGCTTATTATTGCAATTTATTGTTAATTTTCGGTTCATAATGATTTACCCGCAACATCGTCGATCTCACTGTCACTTTCAAGCAACGTTTCTTCGATTTCTTCGACGTCGTCGTCGTCTTCTTGCAACTCATCACGAGTATCAAAGCTGTGCTCTTCTCGGTCAGCATCTTCTGCTCTCAGAGTGGGTGGCGTTAGCGGTGGAGTTTCATCGCGCCTGAGAGAGGATGAACCAAGAGTTACGCTTTCTGGAAGGAAAGAGGAAGAAGTAAGTATCATGACCTCATCTTCGGGGATGGTGGGCAAGGAAAAGCGGCGTTTGGGTCTTGTGTCCACCAGGACAGTGGGGAGAGCGGGCCGAGGAGGCGGTGTGGTGTCCATGTCCTCACGAGGTGGGGCTGGCCGGGGAGGTGTCAGTCTTGAATACAGGACTTCCGTGTCCATAGAAACGTATGAATCAGACGTGGGCGATTGTACGGTGTAAGGTACATTCTCGTACGTGTTGTCAGTTGCGTTTGTTTCGTCCTCTTCAGCTATAATTTCATCCACTCTAGCAAAATCAACATTGTTATCATAACCATAGTCATCAATGCAGTATGGATTTAGAGAACCCTGTATTTCAGCAAACGAGTGATAAAAATATTTCGGAGACTCGGGTCTTTCTGAAGGGGCGAGATCTTCATACCTAACAAACTCCGATTCGACTGATTCATCTTCCAATTCCCGAGAGAAGTCGATCGTATATTCCTTTTCTGGAAGCGGTTTTATTCCGGCATCAACCTCATTTTGTGATTGTTGAATAATCTTGTCTCCGGGTTTATTTTCACCCTCTGCATTACCGTTGTCCTGTGATGGCTGCCTCAAGTCATCCATCAATCCTTTTTCTGGTTCCAGCGGCGGGAGGATGACCAGTTCTTCACCGGATGTTTGGTGCAGACGAAGGTCAGTTCTTGGGCGCGGAGGAATGTCTCGGTAAAAGCTTGATAAGTTGAGCTTGCTAAGAGGCCTACGTATGGCAGGACAGGAGTGGTCACCGCGCTCGAAATATTCAGTTAGTGAAGGGGATGATTTGGAGCGCGTTAAGGCAGAGCCACCGGTGACGTTAGTGGAAGCAATGGGCGACACGTGCGGTCGGATGGGGGAAGAAGTGGGAGAGGTGGAAGAGTGAGAAGTTATGCATGCAGGAGGTGAACTACAAAGCGACTGCGCCTCAAGTAAAGTCAAGTGGGGGATGTGAGGAGCGGAAGCACAGGAGCCAACAGGGTACGGGAAAGATACCCATCTGGAGCGAAACAAAACACAGAAGAAAGTTAGAAAAGCAAAATTAAGAACAATTTTTGCGTTCACGTGAAATGGAACGTGCATATACCAGCGGAACGTTTACATAATTTGTAATAATCAAAATAATAAACTTGCACGAGCAATAAATTCAAAATAACTGCAAACGTGATATTCACGGAAAAAGTTGAAGCTGCCAATATTCTAGTCAACGGAACAATTAAGAGAAGAAATAATATCAGTCTATTGAGGGTAATAAGCAGCTGACACTTGCATTTAACAAAGTAGAAATTTCTGCTTCAGAGCTACTAAACGAGCGAACAACGATGACAACACAGAACCGACAAGCACATTTAATTGTCCTGCCGCTAACATCTCATGCACTGCAGCAAATATAATTTCACTTCAGCCTAAGCCTAAACATTCAACTTAATCAACAGCAATTATGGCTCTTGTCTCCTTAAATTTACACTAATCAAAATAATACTTAAATATTTATATGTTGTTCCATTAGTTCTCTCATAATGTTTTGTAAGATTCTTTTACTTCACAAATCAACGAAATAAATTTAAGGTTTATGTAGCAGAGCTCAGCTCAAGCTCGATAAATACTATCCACAACAAAAAGATGACAAAGGTTAAGTAATAAAGGAATGTTGGATAAATTTAGAGGCAAATTATTGGTAACGGATTAGTGCATTTCTCCAGCTTTATTTACAGATAAACATATATCGCCATGAACATTCGTTGTTCGCGAGGATCTTTGTAATTAAATTCTGAAGTTCGAGAACAAATATTTTAGTATATATGGTAGGAATTTTAATGTCATGCAAGTTTTATTACTTTTTATAATTTAAGTGACGAAGATTTCGGTTCCATTGAATATTTCCATAGAGGTTAGAAAGCAATGTATAAAATATTGATTTGAACGATAGTGCACGATGAATATCATATTACACTAAACATAAAGGGCACATGAACAGATATTGCGCTATCACTTAAAAATATGAAGCTTTTTACTTGCTTTAATTTAAAAACTTGTTTAGTAATTCAATAGTAATTACCGTCCTCACCTCATATGAGGAGTCTCTTCTGCTACAAATTACCGTCCTCACCTCATATGAGGAGTCTCTTCTGCTACATGTCACATCTGCAGAGGCTGTCACATCTGCAGCATCTGTCACATGAGCAGCAGCTGTCACATCTGCAGCAGCTGCCACATCAGCAGCAGACGAAGCAGGTGGCCAAATGGAGAGCTGCAGAGCAGGAATAGCGTCGTCGTCTGCGTGCAGTAAGATGGTGCAGGCACCTGCAGGCGCAGGAGGCCCGATAACTGGTGCAGGCAGGCCGCTCATAGAACTATCTTCAGTTCTCTGGGGGATTTCAGAAATTAAATTAGCAGGAAATAAAAGAATAAGCGGCAAGACAAAATTAATATGGATAAGAGTTCAGCTATTGTAAGAGGCCGCCATACGTCATATCTCATATCTCAATCATATATGAGGTTTCTTATAAGTTGTGTCAGCTCTTGTGGTCAGAAGACCCATAACACTAAGCTCCCACGCTGCTAACATTTCAGGCCCGTAACAAACTTGCACAATCGACACCCGTTCGGCACAGTTATAAGCTCATCAATGCACCAGGTCGTCTAGTAGAAGCTGTATGTACGCATACTTTGATTAATCATTCATGAAATAGCCTGAAATACACTTTTTTTGTAAGCATGATAATGCTTACCTCGAAGTCAGCCATCAGTCCACCAGTGGCCTGATCTGCCATCCCAGATGTCGCCTCTGCTTCAGTCAGCGCTTCTGGCCATTGCTGCTCTTCGGATCGCGAGGCCCGCAGTTCCTCTTCTCTCTCTCTGCTTAAATTTTCCAAATGTTGTTTTTCCGCTCGACGAAGATACTCCTTGTGCCATTTGTCGGGATCCTCGTCGGTTGATACGCCTAGTTTACCATTTTTAGGCAATTCTTCCGGCCCATCCCATTGGTCTGGAATATGCGAGTCGTAACGTGTCGCTTCCATGGCGTCTTCACCCGAAAAGGAAGTCCCAATCGGATCCTGATCCTTTAGGACGTCGTAACGCTTCCCGTGAAGCAATTGTTCTTCTTGGTAATCTGCAACAGGTACTGGTACCATAGTACCTTCGTGGTATCTTGCACCAAGCAGTTCAGAGTTTGAGTATGCATCTTTGTCATCCATAGGTTCGTAGGCACCTCGCTCGTAACCACGCTGTAAAGATGACGCCTCCGGCGCAGTTTCGAATGGATTGCTCGTGTCAAGAGAAGAACGTTCGAGATTTGCATCGTTGGCCTTCATGGAAAATGTGGATGGATGCTCGTCGGCTCGAGTAGATCTCTCGCCGAGCAAGTAGTCTTCAGCAGCTCGTTGCAGCTGGAGCCAGCGCTCGTCTTCGGCTCGCTGCTCCTCCGCAAGTTGGCGCGTCAAGCTTTCGCTAGAACTTTTCCTGGATCTAGAACCAGATCTGCACGAAAAATAATGACTTGAATTTTTTCTTGAACAGCAAAATATATTTAACATTTCATTAAGAATTAGCATCGTACAAAAATTCTAATTTAGGGGTCCCAAATTCCATTAAAACAATAATCCACTTCCAGGCCACGAATACTGCGCAAGCGTGTTGCTTAGTTCTTTCTGTTTCAAATCCGTCGAATAGAGCAAATCATGAACATTTAAAATTGTACTGCCAATTCTGTTATAGATTGCCATTTTCAAATCAACCGAAGTTATTTTATTTGCTGGGGCCAGAAGAGAAACTTAGAGTTTGAGTCTATTTCCTCGCTCGTTTGGACCTCCGTGTAGAACAGTAGGAGTCGGCGTAACCCAAAGCCCCACTGTATTACATTCTTGTTAGAGTTCAGAGAGCAAGATTCTCCCACCCACTTTGCCTAAAAACCCTAACTTCTATGAAGGAGCACGGAAGTCACCCCTTGTCCTACCTCCCTTAATCTACCTAGTCTCTAGCCGTTAAAGAGTAGGATGTGAACTTTATTCACCAGCCGTTCTCCAAGTAAAAGAATAGGATGTAAACTTTACCGACCTTCACCACCTCGGGACCAAATCGTGGAATTGCGGGAGCAGTTTCACTCAACGGCTCTTTCCGAGATCCGTCTCGCGGAAGAGTGAATAGTCATATTCCCCACCTACGCCTAAGAACCATTTCAAGGGTGTGCAAATAGCCAGATTCACTTCCTTGCGCGCAAGGACCATCTCGGAGAAATACCAATATTCAGATTCGCCCACCTGCTCCGCCTGAGGACCGTCTCGTGGAAGTGAAGGAAAGACTGCACGACTTCTTTGGTCAGGGAACGGGAGCGGGAACGCCAGCGGCCAGCAGCGTCGGGGTGAATTGACGGCCTGCCTCTTCTACCAGAAGTCGACCTAGAAGAGCTAATGACACGAAGAACGCGAAAATTGGGATCTAAGGTCAAAAACTTCTTTTGTTTTGGACCGATAAACATGAAATGAAACTTAGGAAGGCAATGAAACGGATAAACGGTTTTTCTGATATCAATGGAGGTTGAAATAGAGGCGTAATTTTCACATCTCTGTTTTTTTTACTTTGCTTCGATCTTGCAACTGAAGCTGCAACCCAAGATTAATTCGCTTCTCACCTTGACGGACTTTGGCTGCTGATGTCTCTTCTGCCTCTCGTGTGGCAAACAGCGTCTCCATCTTGTTTTTTCTGTTGCTGCAAGAGATCCTCCTGACGCTGCAGGTGCTTCTGCTGCAGCGCCTCTGCCGTGACCTGGGCTGCCACTTCGGCAGCGATGTCTCGCGCGTCTTCGGCGCTGTGCGACTTCTTCAGGAGAGATCGCCGGGGCCGCGCTGCACTCAGCACCTCTTCCAGCACCTGTCCGTCTCCTGACGGGGGCCTACAACCGAAAACTTTGCGCTAGCTTTTATTATCACGGAGAAAATCTGAATTTTTTGTTAAGTAGAAAAAAAACTTTCTCAAAGTAGCACCTGTAACTTCCTACTTTGCATAAAACTGTGTAAATAATTTAAGCGGTGAATATATTGCTCGCAAGTGAAACATAGATTTTAGGTTAAATATATATTTATGTTTTATATGTAGATGCACCGCATCTGTACATGTTTAAAATGAGTTCTACGATGCGTCCATTTCGATTAAATTAATACATCTCATTTGGTACGACATGGTATTTACGCCTCCTACCATATACTCATACAATACTCATATCATACCATAATGGTGTCTTGGAGTCTTGGAATCGCAGTGCCCAATCTATTTACTTGCAAGATAGTCGAATTTGTTGGAATATTCAGCGAACCGGTAGCGGTCATAAGGAAGATGGTGCAAGTTCGCACTAACCCGTCGTGGTTATCGATCAGATAGTGCAGGTTTTCACTAACCTGTCATGGTCGTCGAGCAGGTGGTGCAGGTTTTCACTAACCTGTCATGGTTATCGAGCAGATAGTGCAGGTTTTTACTGACCTGTCATGGTCGTCGAGCAGGTGGTGCAGGTTTTCACTAACCTGTCATGGCTATCGAGCAGATAGTGCAGGTTTTAACTGACCTGTCATGGTCGTCGAGCAGGTGGTGCAGGTGCAGGCAGTCAGGACAGGTGTGGTAGGAGGAGCAGGTGCTGCAGCTGAAGTATTCGCTGATGCTGCTGCCGCTCGGCGTTCTGCGTTGCGCCTACATCGAAATCAGCGCCATAAAAAGTGGCCAAATTCGTTAGGCTCATCATTGTAATTTCTTTAGTTTCCAGCACTATTTGCCTATTGCAATTACTTCCATTTTTTGTGGATAAAAAAGAATTAAAAATTTTAATTTAAAGCAACTACACACTAGATGAAAATTTTGGGATTTTACTTCATTGTAAAAAATTAAATAATTTTTGTCATCAAAGTACGGGCAAATAACTCGGAAATAGAAAAAATTTCAAAAATTTAATACAATGAATGTAATAATTTCTGGTCAGGATGTCATTACATAGGTTCACGGAAATGTCCACATAAATATGTTGAGTGAACTACTCTCAATAATTGATTACGTACATCAATAATAAAATTCCGTTCCGCCTGCGTATGCGGCAGTTCATCTTGTAAAATCCAGTTCTGTTGATCGGTTTATGATGTCTTAGTCTATGCCGGTCGTGATAGTATGCTAGACACTATTGCTAGTATGAACCATATTTGTCTGGTATTTTGGAGCTCAGTAAGTCTAGTATTTTTGGCTGGTTTTGTATGGTCTGCTTGGTAAGTTTGGTATTTGACCGCTCAAGATGTCTAATATTTCTTTCTCAGCTATATATGTCGAATATTTCGTAATCAACTTGTAAAAGATAATATTTTATAGTGGTGTCTCCACAAAGTATTCGGATTACCAGTTCCATATACCTTAATTGCAGTGTCACAATTCTATCTTTGCGTTGGAAGGTAAACGTTACGTTAAATTTCAACGAATTCCTTACTTCCCACACTACTGACGCCATATTTACTATTTTAACAGCACGAATTTCCTCATTATATTATCAAATCAATTTTATTGTTTCTATCTCTCAGCCTTTCCTTCATACCATTTTCAAGAATTCGACAATTTCAAGAAAAGAATCATCACTCGTGACAACAAGTCGCAGGCTGTTAGGCCGGTGGCCGTCAGTCAGCTGGTACAGATTTACATAGGCTCGTCCTTCTACTCCCGTACAAGCATATGCATGGCGAACAAATTCTTCAAGAAATGAATAGTTCTATGTTTCATGCCGTATCTAAAGTATAAGGTGGTACTTGGGCCACTGAAGTACCGGTTGTCCTACAAGATCGTTAAATCGCTCGAACACAATATTTTTTTTCTAACTTTTGGAGTCCATTTTATCATTGCCAAACATCCTCTCCTTTCGTTCGAAAATGAGCCACTATAGAGTGTGTACTTCAGCAGTTCCTTCTGAGGAACAGCAATATTTCTTCACTCTCTTTTTAAAAATTCAAACCTTGAAACTGCTTCAGACACCCGACATATGATGCAGCATAATCTTCTAACAACTTATCTCAATGGAGAAAATTTAACAAAACCCGTATTAATCTAACGTGGAAGTTGAGAATTGTGGCGATGAAAGTGGTTAAGCCTCAAGACATGTGGCATATAGTCGGCATAGTTATACTTGGTGACGCCAAGAGTTGGCAATGTTGAATTAATAATAACCGTACGTTGCTTTCTCTTGTTCAAGAAAGTTATAAGGAACGTACGTGTTAATTTTCAGTTTCTTATTACGTGATAGTGTGCAGAAATGTATCATGATTATAACTCAACAATTGAACTTCAGTGTTTCAAATTGTATCAGTTTTAATTGTGGCCCTGTTTCTTAATCGGGCTCGATTAATTTAGACAAACTGCGGTAGGGGCTTACCGAAAATTTACAGCCAATATCATCACGTTCTTTATAAACCCTAAATAAACCCAATCACGATCGTGTTACGATCATGTGAGGGGAACGGTGACGTGGCAGTGGAAATACCGACTTTTTAGTTAAGGTTTTGAAATAAAATTGGTATTTTTTCGACTTTAAGTGTTGTATGCAAGGCTCATAATTGAGGTACAGTGCCCTAGTACATTTGTGTTCCAAGTTTTAAATTGTTGTAATTTTAATGTGATTTAATTTTAATGATACGGTACTAGCGAGCAGCAGGTCGATGAAGTTCTGGAGGCGATCGGTAATATGATCGCTGGAAAACGTACATAGAACGTACTGTAATAATTGAACATCAAAATGTATAGTTCCAGTATATATAGTGATTGACAGCTTGAAATGGTCAGTGAATTGCTCGGGAAATGTGCAAAAAGAAAACGGTCCAGGTCTTATAATTAAAAGACCAATTTGTACGTAAAACAAAGAACTGAGCAATCTGACGAAAAATTTAGTTCCAACAGACAAATTTCATTATAACCAATTGAGATATATTTCATCATTTCAAAACTTCAATTATGCTCATAAGTGATGAATTGTACCTAGAGGATGAGCTTCGGGTAAATTCAAATATTGTTTATTTCCATAAAAAATCAGCACTCATTCGGAACCAGTTTCTCCTGATGAATAATGGAGTAATTTAGAAGTCAAAAAGCAGAGAAGCAGGTGCATAATTCGCGCAGAAGCAAACGCAGTGCGAGGGCAATGAAGCGTGTACACAAAATTCATCTTTTATGAAAATAAGGAATAACAAATTACCACTATTAAACTTTTTACAAAATAACTCTGTACAATAGAATATTCAAAAACAAAAACAAATTAATTAATAGGCAGTAAATAGGCAGTGGAAGAACTAGGTACTATTTATCCGGCAAGTTCCAATATGAACCTAAAAGAAAAGGAAAATCTATTCGATGCAATACACTAAATTATCTATCATAAAACATTAGTTTAGTATAACAACAGTTAACAATTATTTGAGATTATTACTTGCCAGATAAGAAGTTAAATATATGATAATCTAATACAGGAAAACAACTTAAATTTCTAAAAGGTAACTAGGAAAACATTCTACAACATTAGAATTTCGATTTACAGAAGAGGTGCACGTGGTTAATTCAATTTAAAATCTGATCAAAAAATTGAGAACAAACAATAAAAAGCAGTGATTTATTCAAATAATACCAAGTCTCACTCAATAAAATAAGTGCTACAATCTAGTGGACAGGAATATTCAGCGAAGTATGTTGAGGTAACATTGGTACAAAATACCTAAAAAAATTTGATTTTAATTTTTTTAAGCTACAAGAAAATAAGTGACGCATAGGAAAGGCAACAAGAAACCCACAACTTAAATAATAACACATACACACTTTGTGTTCGAGTTTAAGCATTACGCCGAAGCGGGAGGTCTGCTCCTTAACCCTCTACCGCCGGATGTCACTCTCCGGGAACATAACTTTCAACTTAAATTATACGTTACCTATTGAGTGTAGCAACCTGAGGACGTTTGTACGCAACAGAGAACATTTTAAAGTTGTCGTACGCGGCGGCAACCATCAGTGCAAGTCATTTTACGCTCACTCTTACGCTCATATCCTTTTTGGTAAGTAGGCTTGTGACAATATTGCTCCGGTTATTCATGTAAGGCGGTAGAGGGTTAAGGTCCAGTTTGGCACAAGTGGTGACTCAACTATCTGCGATAATTTTCAAGAGACATCCACGCTATAAACTCAAGTATCATGTGAGTCGCGGGGACCCACTTTTCGTGACCCACTTGCTTTAATATTTATTGTCATATATTGTAGACTTCATTAAATTTCTTGACCTGTTTTCGTTCCACAACTCATTGCCGGTAAATTTTTATTCATGAAGTGACTCAAGTGAAGCCTGCTGACGTATAGTAGAACACTAGTGGGTCACGATAATACATGAAGTGCATTATTTTGCGGAAAAACGAGTCAGCCAAGCGACTTGAGTGAGTCACCCGTACTGGCTCATTTTTCTCCGAGTATTTTTATACAGTTTATTAACTTAAAAAAAATATAAATTTAAATAAAAAAAATTATGTGAAACTGTACTCTGTCCAGCAGTTGCTGGCAAGCAATAAAAATGAAAAATCATCAAAAACGAACAACACACTTCCAGCTTATAGCGTAATCAGATTAATTTTCTCCATTGAGGACATTGAGAGAAAAATAATAATCTGTCGCAAAGCGAATAAAACTTTGATGTTCAATGAAAATTGTACAAAAATTCTGCATATAAATAATTACCTAAATTGAAGCGACAGAATGAGATTTTGAAAGCTTTTATAATCTTAGCCAATTCAACACACGAGGAAGAATTCTTCAGAACAACAGTCGCCGTGTGTGACTCGTCTGAGAATGCGAGCTCAAAAAATTCAAAGCAGATTTGAAGTAAAGCTAATAAATCAATAAAAATTATGCTTCTGCAGTGTGAAAAGTTTTAGCGTATACGAGAAAAATGTTTTAGAGAAAAAATGAACTCCCATGTTTACATTTAAACTTATGCGTTATTGAGCAAAGATGATTTGAGAATCGCAGTAAAATTGTAGTTTTGTGCGAAAATTTTACACATCAAACTTGAACATACAAGAAAATTTTTTAGTAAAATCTGGAATGTATTATTGGTCTAGTTGAATTCCGACTACAGAACTTACCTAACTCGATAACACCTGGACAGTAAGAAAACAATACTGTTCTGCATGATAATTACACCAGACTGTAACAAAACAATCATGGACCATAAGATAGCCAAAATATCCAGTATGAAAAATATTCTGCTAGGCAAGCTGTCAATACTAAACAGCAAGATAACAATACGGGACGGCAAGATAACAATATTGGCCAGCAAGAAATAAATCTAGAAGACAAGTTAACAATACCTGATTGCCAGCAATCAATCTAGCAACGAAATATTAAAATATTCATAAGCAACATAAAAATCTTGAAGCATAAAATATTTTCGATCAGCAAGACCAAAATGTTTCTCTGCAATCCTATATTCTCCATCTGAACATAACAATCTTACACCACGAATAGCAATCTTACAAAAGAACATAACGAGACATCTAAACATTACAATCTTACCCCACGAATAGCAATCTTACAAAAGAACATAACGAGACATCTAAACATTACAATCTTACCCCACGAATAACAATCTTACAAAAGAACATAACGAGACATCTAAACATTACAATCTTACCCCACGAATAACAGTCTTACAAAAGAACATAACGATAACAACAAGCAACTTTACACTCCGCCCATAACCACAACTGTCTCGGCAGGAGTGAGTCGTCAACTACCCGTCGTCAACAGCTACCGCGGCGGTCCTTTGCAAGAGCCTATCTCAAAATTTCTATGCTCTTTTACCTCAAATTTAACCGATCATAATACGCAAATAACCCCAGTTTCGTCTCGAAAGATGAAGCCAATCAAATAAATTCAAAAACTAATCGAAATGGAAGCAATACACGCAGAAAATATACCCAACTCGTGCATATCATCTGCATTACGAACGATATGGCAAGTCCCGCATGCAAGGAACGCGCGACTTTTATAACGTATGGCACTTCGTAACATCAAGATCAACGGTTCATAAAGGTCTAATGGACATTAAAATTCGTGTCGATAAGGACTACTAATCATATGATTGAAATGAAGTTCAACTTCCGAGCCTAACGTAACATTTAATGTTCTCATCCGATCAACAACTAAAGCTCTTTGCAACAGCAAAAGTATTAATAAATTTCGAACAATCCTGACTGCAAATAACATTGTAAGGGAGTTCAAGTGAGTACGGTACCTACTTACAATCAAAATGTCCAGGATCAACATTAGAAACAAAAGATTATGTTTTTAAAGCGGGTTCTATTTCTACGAAAAAAAAAACAAAGGTCCGTACATTTTTCGCAATTTAGCAACGGGTAAATTCGTTTCCGAAAAATGTGCAAAGGAGCTCAAGACGTAGGAACACATACAGCACAAACTAAACAATACAAAGTATTTCAAAGCAGTGCAAAGTATTGCAAATTATTGCAAAACAGTGCAAAGTTATTCAAATTATTGCAAAGCAGTGCAAAGTATTACAAATAAGTTCAAAGTATTGCAAAGTAGAGCAAAGGAGTACTTGATAGATGTGAACTATAGAGTGCAATACTGAGTGAAAGTAAAGTGTTGCTATAGCATGACTGCTGGGCAGAGCATTGTACATCTGCATCGATGATGTACAGAAGCACGGTAACAATGAACAAGAATTTCAAAGTAAAGGAAATGACAAGTAAATTCATCAAATTTCCATTGAGATGCTGAATGAAAATTGTATGAATTTTGATATTTTCTTTACTCTCAAATTCTTGGTTAGTTTGCAATCAGAGCAAACTAATGGTATAAATGCTTGTGAAATATGAACAAGCAGCAGTTCTGTACAACACTATTAAACAAAATGCACTGTATTACAGCACACAATAGCACAAAACAGAACAAAACGGCACAACACAATATTGTACATGTAAAGCACAACACTGTATACAGTATGAAAACTGCACTGTACAGCATGGAACTGCACTGCACAGCAATGCATTGTGAAGTCAAGTTCAGCCTTATACAGATATTTCACAGTACAAAGAGTAAAGAACTGCACACAGCACACTACACAGTACAAAACTGTACAGAGCACAGTACAGAACTGTACAGAGCACAGCCTCAGAACGCAGAACTCACCTCGTGGTCATCCCCCCCGGCGGTCTGAGTGGAGTGGGGGGACACAGCAGTGCGGGGGAGGGCTGGGGGAGACACGAGGGGAGGCTCAGGGCTTAGGGATGAGGGAGGTGAGGGTTCCATGCCTGAGTCGTGAGGGGGAGACGATGGGGATGTGGGGGATGAAGGTTTGGGGAGGAGGAGGGCGTCGAGGCGGCGGGCACGGGCAGCGATGTGGGTGATGCGGTCAGAGATTGCGTCCTGGGCGAGCTGGTTGCCGTGCCACCCGCGACTGTCACGGTAACTTGAATATGAATTATGGGGTAATTATTATTATTCAGTGATAATAACAGGTAATTTATGTGGTGATTATTAATATTCAATGGTAATAACAGGTAATTTATGTGGTAATTATTAATATTCGATGGTAATAACAGGTAATTTATGTGGTAATTATTAATATTTAATGGTAAAAACAGGTAATTATTTATGTGGTAATTATTAATATTCAATGGTAATAACAGGTAATTTATGTGGTAATTATTGATATTCAATGGTAATGACAGGTAAGTTATGTGGTAATTATTAATATTTAATGGTAATAACAGGTAATTTATGCGGTAATTATTAATATTCAATGGTAATAACAGGTAATTTATGTGGTAATTATTAATATTCAATGGTAATAACAGGTAATTTACACAGATTATTTAACAAATAATTAAAAATATCATGTAATATTTACTAAGTAATACATATTACGATATACGTTTATTTATTATTACAATGAATCGTTTACCAAGTAATTCGCGTTGTCACAAGCCATTTCCCAAGTAATTAGTCATAAATTAATGAAAAAATATAAAAATATCGTAGTGTAACTGGACGTTGTACGAAAAGTTGTGAGAGTTAACATATGAGTAGTTGAGAGAGTTGACGTTGTACGAAATTTTTTGATAGTGGACGTTGTACGAGAAGTTGTTTGGAGAATGGAAGTTGTAAAAAAAGTTGTGAGAGTGGACGTTGGACATGTAGTTGTAGGAGTAAACGTTGTACGAGCAGTTGTGAGAGTTGACGTTGTACGATAAGTTGTAAGAATTGATGTATGAAAAGTTAAGGGAGGAGTGGTTGTACGAGAAGTTGTGGGTGCGGACGTTGAAATGAAAATTTTTTAAGGAAGTGAACAATTCACGAGCAGATGTCGTGGGAGAAAATATCTGTCTGCTACTGACGGTAAAAGAGCATTCGGGGGAAAGATATTGAGATCATATTTTTCATCTCCGTAGATTTATCCGAGCACTTCGCATAGTACGAGAATAAATAGTGATAGTGGGTTTCTCATTCCATTAAATTATAAGCGGTACAATTTAGCAACGCTTTAGCGACAAATTATAGCCAATTTCGGAACAGTGTAAACATCTACACCTCGATACTGAACCAAAATAAGTTTTGGAAAACTGGCTGAGAACCAATGAAAATCAAGTGAACCTATACCACAAGTATATTAATTTAAATTAATTCTTGTAAAACCCAGAGCCGCATATTCTTAGCGTATTTGTTCAGAAGGAAAGTCAATCAAATCAGGCGAAATACTGATTTGATTGGCATTTACAACGTACGAAAACCGAGAAAAACTATAATTTACTATCAATAAATAAGAAATTTGTATAACCCTTGAATGCATTCGGTTGATGAGGATCATCGGTCAGCGACGAGCAAAATGCGTTAAAAAAATAAGAGATGATACGAGTGATCAAGAGATGGGATATTCATACATTGGCTTCTCATGAATTAGTGCAAGAATTTTATTCGTAAAGCAAAAATGTTTTATTATTTGAAACATCGATTGATCACCGCAAACAGGCACTGAGCATTACTTAAAATCACTATAATCGTACATCGCAATTTCTTTAAATCTTTCAGAATCTTTTTCGATTCCATAAATTAAGAACTTTCATTCAAAATGTGCAATTCGCAGTTTTATTAGAAGTAAAGATATGTTAAAACTTTAAAAAGCATGAAATAGTTATACGTAATGACATATTACTGATTATGTATTACTGGGATTATATGTAGCAAATAAATAAATTTAAATAATAAATTACTTGACAAACAAATAATTTTTCTATGTATTACTATTATGAACGATGCATATATCCCCAAATGTGGGGCGCCGACAACACGCGCGCGTTACCCTGCCAGCTGGCACGTGTAGTGCCCTTGTTGTGCTCACGCTACCTATACCAAAGCCGTGGCCTGCGTTAGGGGAGTTTACCCTTGCAACATTCAAGAGACAACTGGACAATTGGTTGAGAAAGATCCCGGATTGTCCAGTAATGGGAAACCACCCTCAGCAAGTAACAAGCAACAGCATCTTGCATCAGCTGGCCGAATGGAGGGCAAATAGACGGAACACATCCAACGTTGCATCCGGGACCAGAGGGTGGGGTGACCTGCGAAGCGACGACTCGGAGACGGAGGATGACGAATGCGGAGCATCAGCTTGACCGTGCAGACTAAGAAGTCCTAAACTCATCACAAGGTTATGGTGGCCTAAGCGTGGGACATTTAGAGGCCCTGGGAGGCTGGGACCTCTTCTTCGCATTACCGCAGTTTGCGGACGATTCGGCCGGGCACGGCAGAGGCCTACGACATTTCTCGCAGGCATACGCGAATTTTCCGATCGCTTGCCTGTTTCTTGCCTCAGGACTGCGCTGGTGCGACCGTCGGAGTTGAAATGTTCACCCGCAGCTGACTCACAGACTACTGCGATTTCTGACTGGGTAATGGCACCGTCAACGTAGAATAGACTTAATATTATTAATGCCTCATTCAACATAGAACCGAATTTCAGTATAAAATATCAGAGTCACAACTAGAACCTCATCAATGTTTATTCAAAGCTAGCGATAATGCGACGCGTCATCACTCAGCGACGAATACATGGCGTCAGACGCTGTCTCTCGAGGCCCTCGTGGTGGCGCTCGTTCTGTCCAGATTGGACTATGGTAATGCCACACTGTATGGAGTTCCGACAACGGCACTTAATAAACTGCAATCCGTAACGAACGCTGCTGCGCGACTCGTGTGTAATATGAAAAAATTCTACAGTGTGACCCCGATATTGCGTTATTTTCACTGGCTGCGCATACAGTAGCGCACGCAATTCACAGTCGCTCTTCTGACGTTCCGATGCCTTCACGGTCTGCGCCTCCTTATCTCGCGGAATGTCTGCAGCGCGTGTCGGATCTGCCTTCTAGAAGACGTCATCAAATAGCCAACCTCGTCGTTCCATCTACAGTCTACACGTCCATCTAACGTCGGCGACAGAGCGTTCTCGGTCATCGACGCCCGAATCAGAAACAGTCTGCCGGCTTCCGTAACATCGGCTCCTTCTTTGCAGGTATTTCGTCGACGCCTAAAAATGAAACTATTTCGTGGAGCCAATGAATCAAGTGCTTAGTCATTTTTATCCGTTCTCATCCTATCTGGTGTCTATTTATTTTCTCTTGCTATTAAACTTATGTGTAACGCGCCCTCGAAGTTTGTTTAAGCAGACGTCTCGATAACTGCTTCGTAGAATAATAATAATAATAATAATAATCGCTAAGTCTGGCAGTGAGAGAGAGACTGTGACGTCATAGGGCGAGTGAGGGAACGCTGGGTGAGGGAAGTGACAGGGGGTAAGTGACAGGGGGGAGGGAGGAAATGACATAAAGCAACAACAAAAAGAAAAGATCACCGATACATCAACCAGGATAAGGTAGACTGAATCCTGGACAAAGAATGAGAAGAATACGATTTTTTAACGACCGTAATTTAATAATATAATAGATTGAATTTATAAGGATTGTATGAGGAAGTATAGGAAATATGAACAACTGGAAGCTAAATAGCGGTGAACCGAATGAGGGTGACTCAGAAGACAGAACAGAGCTGCAGCTCAGAGCAGTAGCTCGATCTGTGCGCGCCCTGTCCATCTCTGATAAATGCACTCGCAAGCCTCAAGTGTCACCGAGCTGCCAAGTGGCCGTAGCACTTCTGTCCAACATAGTAATATTGCGTTAGCATTATATTTTATAAGTTATCAGATTTTAGCCATGCTTCAATATAGAATTGCTTTACATTAGTGGACTTACTAATAACTATTACTATCTATTATTATTAACTATTTGACTATCGCGAAAAATCAAGAAACGGCAAACATTCAACGTATTTCCAAATAGAAGAAAAAACTGCTGTTGAAAAGTTCTCAGACTTTGCGGAATGAAGCTCTTAAGGATTTTTTTAGAAAAAAATGTGAAAAATGTGCTGCTCTGAGACGGTTTGAGGCAGATCAGGCGACGCCTAGTGGCAGGGCAGGCGACGGCTAGAGGCAGGGCAGGCGACGGCTAGAGGCAGGGCTGGCGACGGCTACAGGCAGGGCAGGCGACGGCTAGAGGCAGGGCAGATGCAGGCAAGGCAGCTGGCAGGTTGCCCTGATACACGAGGCGGGGGTAGGTAACTCGTATCCGCCTTACACCGCATGCCTTGAGCCAGCACCTTTTTGTTGTGAATAAAACACAAACTCCTAGGGCAGCGCAATATAATGCACTACATAATACGATACGAAAAAATACACTACACAATACGATACACAATACAATACAGAATACAATACACAATATAATTACTTAAATCTTTGGCGGCAAGTTTTCGTATAAGGTCACTGAAAACCTATTCTCTAACACGTACCCTATACAACCTAGGTGTGTGTTTGAGGCTGCGTTACCATGCCTTTGTCAATCACCAATCATTTGTCAATCATTCCAAACACTGCAACACCCCCCCAACACGTTAAAAAATGAAAAGAAACGCATTTAAAATGGTTTTTGCTCAGACACCAAAATTTAAGTTCTTTCTGCAATTATTCACAACCCAAAAATTGAAATATCTCTTCAATTAATATCAATTAGTGAAGAATATTGAATTATATCGAAGACTGATAGTTTTCTTTTAACTTTGCAAATACTCATATTAAAGTGCTTGCAAGGGGTGTTTGCTTGTATACCATACAAGCCACGAGCAGGGTTGTGTGCTTGTATAACATACACATCACTCAGGCATAGGCACAATAGCTCAAGTTTTCTGGTCCTTATTTTTTTCGAAAATAATTTTTATAATTTATTTAATATAATACGTATAATAAAATCCAAGTTCTGAATAATTTTTTAATAAAATATAATAAAATTCATGGTGAAATTCTACTATTATTATTTTATTCAAGCTAGAATAATCTATTTTCGGCAGGATTCTATAGCCCTTTGAAGTTAACAGTGAACAAATCGCTCAAACAATTATGGACTTAAGGACTATATATCCTTAAAATAGATATTAGATGATATTTAGAAGAGCGCATAATCACTGACCTTAATCATAGGATAATGAGTGTCATCCTGAAAGATTTATGCAAAATAGATGGTCATCGTTGAAAAAACCCGAGCAATGGAGGAAAAACATCCAAAACCAATTGAGTATGGGATTACAAATCATCAATTATGGACAATGCAGATTATGCGATTACACATCAATTAAAATCAATGCATTATTGTTTTTCAAGAATATATTTTAAGAAATAACTACTAAAATATAAGCAAGTCACTGGAGGCGCCAAAGGTGTTGTATTTTGACAGCCTTCTTTATTTATCAGCATGATTGCGACCTGCCGCCTCGCACACTGCCAGCTCCTCTTCTACCGCTGCTTCTACCGCTGCTGCTACCGCTGCTTCTACCGCTGCTTCTACTGCTGCTTCTACCGCTGCTTCCAACTCTGCTTCTACCGCTGCTTCTACCGCTGCTTCTACCGCTGCTTCTACCGCTGCTGCTACCGCTGCTTCTACTGCTGCTTCTACCGCTGCTTCTACCGCTGCTTCTACCGCTGCTTCTACCGCTGCTTCTACCGCTGCTTCTACCGCTGCTTCTACCGCTGCTTCTACCGCTGCTTCTACCGCTACTTCTATCGCTGCTTTACTACTGCTTTTATCGCTGCTTCTACTGCTGTTTCTATTGCTGCTATTTTCATCTAAACTGAAAAGCTGACAACCGCAACAGAAAATCAATCATTTGTTTCTCTTCGAACTAAAATCTATCGCTTTTCATTTATTGTGCGTTTCCGAAAATCGTTGCACATTAAATCCTCTGCAAATCTGTTAGTACTTTGTTAAAAACTTTGTTAAAGTTGTTACTTTGTTAAAGTTAAAGTTGCTAAAGGAAAGTAAATGTCACTCGGTATCTGGCTTAGCTCAACCGTTGACAGATGTGCAGATTTGATGATTCATTTTCGCTTTTTCTTTCATTGATAAGAAAGTTTTAAATTCGAAAATTGACAGTGGCACGGAAATTAATCCATGTTCGTTCTAGTACACGAGATATCGTCGCTTACACATTACATCATAATTATATTGAACATGTTATCTTCTTTCCTTTAAAACACCTATGGAGGAGCTTATTGACTTGATTATACTTAAATTATCCAAGCAGCCATTGATGAGCTTATTAACTTAATCTTACTTTATTTATAAAGATTACCATTGAGGCCGGAGCATATTGGCATAAAGATACTTTAATTATTAAGACTACAATCAAAAAGCATTATTGACATAATTATACATACATTTATGTCGTAATTATTCGTTTTCGTTCATCCTTTTCTCGTAATTTTATATTAAATCAATAATCGTAATTTGAAGGTATTATGTTGACTCACCTGAAGTAAACAATAACTCAGTGCAATTTAATGTACACTTAATTTGATTTAATCATTATAAATAATTATCATTGTTTGCTTTAAACTTCACTGTCGATTTTCAAGTTCATTTCCGACACCGTAATGAGACATGTCCTCCCGTGAAGGCAAGGATGAAAAACTGGAGAAAAATAATCTATCCCACATAAACAAGTCAGCGATTTTGTTGGCAGTTCAACTTGCATCATCGATAAATAATTTCATAATGACTTGATAAGTCCATGAAGAAGCTGGCCCATCTCACACCAGAGCGGAGAGCAATGCTGCCGCCACCACGGCTACTGGCACACTGCAGTGGGCGACCCGCGGGGCCATACTTTCAAAACTCGCTAAGTGAACGTAAGTACTTACGCTTTATTTTCTTGCCTATGATTGGTGGATTTTGCTTGAAAGGCCGTCAACGATTGGCTGATAAACTTACGATCTCTTACGATAGGACCCGCACCCGCGACACGGTGGTGATACTTCTTACCTGGTGGGGGACCTGTGGCTGAGTGCGCGGTCTCCGGGCCACGTTGTTCACTAGCCACTATTGAACACTATTGAACTCTGTTGAACACTTTCAATAGATTGAACACTATTGAAGTCTATTGTCACTATTGAACACTATTGAAGTCTTTTGAACACTTTCAATAGATTGAACACTATTGAACACGTGGTGGATGCAACTCACGTAGTAGAAGCGAAAGTCTCACCTAGTGGATGAACTTACCAAGAAGGCGGCCTAGTCTCACCTAGTGGATGAACTTACCAATAAGGTGGCCTAGTCTCACCTATAGTGGTTGAACGTACCAATAAGGTGGCCTAGTCTCACCTAGTGGATGAACTTACCAAGAAGGCGGCCTAGTCTCACCTAGTGGATGAACTTACCAATAAGGCGGCCTAGTCTCACCCAGTGGATGAACTCACCAATAAGGCGGCCTAGTCTCACCTAGTGGATGAACTTACCAATAAGGCGGCCTAGTCTCACCTAGTGGATAAACTCACCTATAAGAAGGCACTAGGGGCTCCATAAGTCTCTCCTTAAGGAGTTTGCCGAGTCTCACGTTGCGCCCGATCTCCCTGAGGAGTCTGTCCCTCTGGGCCATGAGTGAGGGGGCCACGTCGGGGGCCCCTAGTGCCCCACGAGCCCTCGCGTCCTCCACGCTCTTGCACAAACTCTCCAGGCGACTGAGATGCTGTATGAGAATTAATATAATATATAAGAGAATCCATCAATTTGATTATATTACATAATGATTATATTATATATAATAATGTTATATTATATAATATATATATATTAGAATCAATAAATTTAATTATATTATATTTAATTATATAATATATAATAAAATCAAGCAATCAATGTAATTACATTATATAATAGAATCAGTCAATCAATTTTATTATACATAATAGAATCAATAATGGACATGTTGCATGAATTCAACATCCGCATATCATAAAAATTTAGCTTATTTTCAACAGGGATCATACGAAATAGTTAAATCCTATGCTAATATTAAGGCGTTTACAGTTAATCGGCAAATGAAGGCTCGTCTCCCGGGACACATAATAATTGTAGCAACACGCCCTTGCATATATAATGAGCTGCACAATATTGTTCAGATTTGCACGATTGTTTATTCCATTGCTTTTTCGATGAAAATGAGTGATGGAATGCAATTCACGAAAACACTTACGATCCTTTCTTGTCGTAACAATTTAGATAACGAATGTTTTTTTCGAATAAGACAGATACCCACACCTGCTCCATGGTTCTGCCTACACGCACCTGCTCCATTGTTCTGTAGAAGACTCCAGCAACTCTGAGTCTGGTAAGTTGCTCCTGAGAACCTTGCACGAAGAGCTTCCAGACGCCCTCCAGAGCCCCCACGGCACCACCCTCCTGCTGGGGGCCTTCCTGTGCGCCCTCCGAGGCACTCCGGGCACTCTGGGGGCCTACAGGTCCGTCCTGCAGAGCTGCCCGGCCCGCCTTCTCCACCAGCAGGGCAGCTCTGGCGCACTCGTACCCGTACTCGAACGTGCCCGCTGCTGTGTCCTGCAAGTTACTCAATAATATCATTATTATTATTATTATTTAAATAATAATTTATTAATAATTGATTGTTTGTTAATAATTTAATGATAATTTATTTCATTAATAAGAATTAATTATTAATAATTTATTAATTTTTAATAATTAATCAATTTAGAATAATCCATCAGTTAACATTAATTTATTAATATATAATAATAGTTAGTTAATTACTCACTAATAATTCATACAATAATCCTGCATGCGGGAATCTTGTTTAATTTCATATAATTGTAAACACATAGGCCTAAATGAATTACGTCATCCACTAATTGAGCGGAAATAGAAAAAAAAACAAGATTAGTGTAGAGTATTTCCATTTAATTGAAAGTTTAGGGTAGTAATTCTCAGCTAATAGACAATAGTAGAACATCGATATAGATGTCACGCCGAAATCACGGAATTGTCGATTCTATGGAATCGGCACCAGTTTGCCCGAATCTGTAAAATTAGCATTTTGCTGCTGATTCAGAAAATCGGACGTTAGAGTCAAGAGTTAGAACATTAATAGATAGTTAGACAGTTAAATTCAGAAAGGTTAGGTCAACTTCGCTCAAGTTCCTTTATATTCAAATATTAAAAGAATAACTTGGCTGACTGACCTAACCCCAGATTCCTTTATTATAGAAATGCTGATTTTACATATTGGGCAATCTGGCTGCCGATTCCACAGAATCGGCTATTTCGCGATTTCGGCACAACATACGTATACGTGTAGTATGACATCACTTCCGCCTCGCGTAGATCAAACAATGATCGGTATAAACTGAACACAATCAGTGATCTCACCTGGAAGACCTGGTGATCTGCCTTGAGTTGCCGGATCTCGTCAGCTGATCTGCCGACCACAGAGTGCGACTTGACCAGCGCGCGCAACAGCTCCTCGAGCCATGCGTGCGCCTGCGCAGACAAACTCGGGATTATTGGTACATTAATCACTGTGAACTGAAATATATAAAATATTGTGATTACAATAATCGCTGTGAATTAAAATATAGGGGCCATTGTGAGTACAATACTCGAATTATAAAATAGGGACCATTGTGAGTACAATACTCGCTATCATTGGTGATATGGATCATTGTGAGTACAATACTTTAATTATAACATAGGGACCATTGTGAGTACAATACTAGCAGGTGACCTGCTTTAGGTCCTGCCGACAGGTCAGGAGCTGTGCGTGCTGCTGCAGCCTGAGCTTGCAGACGTCAGCGTGCGCACAGGCTGCCGTGTACAGCCGTGTTGAGGTCGTGAGGAGGCCGTGGACGTGGCTCAGTTCGGCCGTGTGTACGGGCGTGACGTCACGACCACTCAGGTCCTTCACGGCCAGCGTCAGCAGGTCCAGCAGCTTCTCGCCGCACCGACTCGCCTCCTGCATCAGGTAGTCTGACCAACAGAAAAATTGTTTATACATTTTAACTTTTACCAGAACTTTTATGATAGTCTGGCGAACAGAAAAATTGTTTATGTAATTTCACTTTCGTAGTCTGACGAACTGAAAAATTATCCATGCATTTTAACTTTTGTAATCTGATAAACAGAAAAATAGTTAATGATATTCAATTTTTGCAATTTGACAAACAGAAAAATTATTCATGCAATTTCTCTTTTACCAGAACTTTTATAAGTCTTTGCACCTTTGACTCTTATAAGTCAAATTCAATACCAACACGTGGCATAGAGTAAAAAGAAACGGTAGAAAATGCTGGTGAACGAAAGGATTTAAAACGTATAATTAAATATATATCAATAAATTTATATGCATAGTAAATTGTAACTATTGTAATGATCATCAATTGTAACATCAGGACATCTTGACAATTGTAACAATTGTAACATACAATATCGGTCATGATGTTCAAGCTAGGACATTAAACGGCCAATACATGAACAAAACAAAAAATGACAAAAATAAGGCAAGAACAAGGCTAAAACAAGGTAAGAACAGAGCAAAAATAAGGCAAGAACAAGGCTAAAACATGGCAAGAACAGGGCAAAAATAAGGCAGGAACAAGGCTAAAACAAGGCAAGAACAGGGAAAAAATAAGGCAGGAACAAGGCTAAAACAAGGCAAGAACAGGGCAAAAATAAGGCAACAACAAGGCTAAAACAAGGCAAGAACAGGGCAAAAATAAAGCAGGAACAAGGATAAAACAAGGCCCGTGCAAGGCACAGTCAAGACTCACCCAAGGCCTCCCGCCGGCTGGTGATCTCCCTGAGGGCGGCACGGACGGCGCCCACGTGTTTGTCTGTAGGCGTCCAGCGGTCAGGCCGCGTGAGGGCGGCGCAGCGCTCGCTGATGTACTGCGTCATGCGGTGCAGGCGTACAGACGCCAGGATCAACGTGCGCCGCCGGTCCAGCCGTGACGCAAACGATCTGATGCGTGAATATAACGATGTGACGCATGAATATAACGATGTGACGCATGAATATAAAGATGTGACGCATGAATATAACGATGTGACGCATGAATATAACGATGTGACGCATGAATATAACGATGTGACGCATGAATATAACGATGTGACGCATGAATATAACGATGAGCGTGCGCCGCCGGTCCAGTCGTGACGCAAACGATCTGCGTCGATATAACAATGAACATCGTTATATTCATGAGTCGCATGAATAGCGCATTTTCTCATTTATGGAAAAAATGCACTATTGTGCTCGCCATGTCCGTCTGTCTGTCCGTCCGTCCGTTACTTCACGTTTTCGTCGACGAGAAAATGCGCTCTCTGTCACTCACTGCAGTGAGTACTGAGTTACATTTTTTATTCCATATCGCAGCTTCACTGTGGGTTAATAGTCAAATGTTGGCATTGATGTTAATTTACGTTCCCATTCCGTTGATGTTACACACGTAAATCAAAAAGTCACGAAACCAGATTCCGAATCCATCGTAATTGTTTATTGTGAAGCAAATTCAAAGCTAGCGGTCACCTGACGAGAGTGTCGGTGTAGTCCTTGAGCGCCTTGAGGTCTGCGGTGGACGTGGCGTGGTCTGACAGTCCCCGCAGCTCCACGTCCCCTCTTGCCAGGCAGTCCTCGACCCGATACCTCAGCGCCGCCCACCGTCCATACGTCTCCTGTAGGTGGACGGTGAGCGAATACGTTTCACATATCTAAGCGCACGTTTCATGTGTTAAAGCGCAAGTTTCGCGTAGCCAGTCGCACTTTTCACGAGTCCAAGTGCACGTTCCATGTATCCAAGTGCAATTTCACTTTTCCAGGCGCACGTTTCGCGTATCCAAGCGCACATTTCACGTATCCATGCGCCCGTTTCATGTATCAAAGCGCAAGTTTCGCGTATACATGCGCACGTTTCACGTATCCATGAGCACGTTTCATGTATCAAAGCGCAAGTTTCACGTATAAATGCGCACGTTTCACGTATCCATGCGCACGTTTCACGTATCCAAGCGCACGTTTCATGTATCCAAGCGCACATTTCACGTTTCCAGGCGCACATTTCGCGCATCCATGCGCACGTTTCACGTATCCATGCGCACATTTCACGTATCCAGGCGCACACTTCACGTATCCATGCGCACGTTTCACGTACCCATGCGCATATTTCACGTATCCATGCGCACATTTCACGTATCCATGCGCACATTTCACGTATCCATGCGCACATTTCACTTATCCATGCGCACATTTAACGTATCCATACGCACATTTCACGTATCCATACGCACATTTCACGTATCCATACGCACATTTCACGTATCCATGCGCACGTTTCACGTATCCATGCGCACATTTCACGTACCCATGCGCACATTTCACGTACCCACGCTCACACTTCACGTGTCCATGCGCATGTTTCACGTATCCATGCGCACGTTTCACGTACCCACCCTCACACTTCACGTATACATGCGCACATTTCACGTATCCATGCTCACATTTCACGTATCCATGCTCACATTTCACGTATCCATGCGCACATTTCACGTATCCATGCGCACATTTCACGTATCCACGCTCACATTCTTCGTATCCATGCGCACATTTCACGTATCCACGCTCACACTTCACGTATCTATGCGCACATTTCAGGTATCCATGCTCACATTTCACGTATCCATGCGCACATTTCAGGTATCCATGCGCACATTTCACGTATCCATGCCAACATTTCAGGTATACCTGAAATATCCACGCTCACACTTCACGTACCCACGCTCACATTTCACGTATCCATGCGCACGCTTCACGTATCCATGCGCACGTTTCACGTATCCACGCTCACATTCTTCGTATCCATGCGCACATTTCACGTATTCATGCGCACATTTCACGTATCCACGCTCACTTTTCACGTATTTATGCGCACATTTCACGAATCCATGCTCACATTTCACGTATCCATGCGCACGCTTCACGTATCCATACGCACATTTCACGTATCCATGCGCACGTTTCACGTATCCAGGCGCACATTTCACGTATCCATGCGCACGTTTCACGTATCCATGCGCACATTTCACGTATCCGTGCGCACATTTCACGTATCCATGCGCACGCATATATCTCACCCGACACTTGAGCTCGATGGCCTCGTGCTCGCGCAGCAGCTGGTCGGCCTGCGCGCAGGATGCGCCTATGCGCGACTCGCTGAGCAGCGTGCGCGCCGCCGCCTCCAGCCACGCGCCCACGTCGCTCATCTCGCCCTCCACGGCGCGCACCTGGCGGCAGGTGGCGGGACTTGGTGGCGGGAAATGGCGGCACGGCGGCAACTCATGCATCATCACAACTTCCACCACCATCAACATCAACACCACCACCAACACCACCACCACCACCACCAACATCACCACCACCGCCAACACCACCACCACCACTACATCATCGCTTGCCGTAGTGGCTAATATTGCGAAGTATTTAAGGCTTTTAAACGCAACTGTTATATGGTTCAGGAATAATTGAATGCACGTAGCACGGGGTGTACTTCATTTTTTTTTATCCCAGACAATATTGATTCTGCAACACATCGTAAAAACATCGTAAAAACAAACATACAGGATGTTTACACACAAGTATTTGATAATTATGTGACTTTCATAAATAGCATTCCAAAATATGTACAGATATATTGATGATTGCAAAATATATGCACAGAGACACAGTCATATCTTCGAACATAAAGGCTGACCTTATAAAAATTTGTTCTATCTTTAGTTAATTTATTTATAAATTAATTAGATAGAACACAGAATTAATAATTTATAAATCATTATAGAAATTATAGTTTAGTTTAGTTTTATAGATTTAGCTTTAGTTTTATAGATTAGTTTAGTTCCTATCTAATTAATTTAGACTCTGTCACCACACCACGGGCCGCCACACTCGCCACCACACCACGGGGCCGCCACACTCGCCACCACACCACGGGCCACACACCATGTGCCGCCACACTCGCCACCACACCACGGGGCCGCCACACTCGCCACCACACCACGGGGCCGCCACACTCGCCACCACACCACGGGGCCGCCACACTCGCGACCACACCACGGGGCCGCCACAATCGCCACCTCGGCATGCATGCTGAGCGCGGCGCTGAGCCGCCGCCACGTGGCGTCTACGGCGGCGGCGAGGAGCTGCTGGGCGCGCAGCATGGCAGCCACACGCCGCGCCGCCTCACGCCACATGGCACCGCCACCGCCACCGCCACCGTCGGGGCGGAACCCCGCGTCGTCTTCCTCCTCCAGCAACCGCAGCACCGCCTCCCCTGCGGCCAGCGTCAGCATTAATACGTCAGCATCACCGTGCTGATGATACGTCAGCATCACCGTGCTGATGATACGTCAGCGTCACCGTGCTGATGATACGTCAGCGTCACCGTGCACGTCAGCATCACCGTGCTGATGATACGTCAGCATCACCGTGCTGATGATACGTCAGCATCACCGTGCTGATGATACGTCAGCACCACCGTGCTGACTATACGACAAAGTCAACCATGCTGTCAAGCATGGTCGACTTGGTCGTAGCAGGTGCTGCTTTAGTAAATCCTCTATAAAATTAAATTCATTGAAATAAATAATTAAAATAATAATAAATAATCATTTAGATCTTCACTGCATTTGAAAGCTTTCGAGGTAAATGAGCCCAAGTCTATTCATAATGCCAAATTACTTTACTGAACTCACTCTCCTTCAAGGCATCTCTGTAATATTTGATTTTAGGTCAAGTTTTCAGTAACGGATAACACCTTTTTCTCAATAACGACTCGCTGTGAAATTATTTTAACCAATTCAAGCCTATTATTAGTTTTCTGGTCTTATGTTATTATTGCAGCAAAGATATAAGAGCTTAATGTGCATGTACAAACATTATAATTTGTTTGTAGGAGGCTCGTCCTTAATTGTTCGGATATGGTCAGCCTATACTGGTCAATGTAACCCGTTTGTATAGGCGCCAGAAAAAACGCAACGGAACTTCGCCAGTGATAATCGCAGTGTCCGGTAAACAAGTTGATTCTTTGGTCATAATGATGTTTGTATATTTTTATGAAATCTAATTTAGAATTCACCAAAAATTATTATTTATTTTCTATTTTGACCGGGTTATTTACAGTTCAGGCAGGAATAACATTACACGCAACTGACAAATTGATGAGGTCAACAGGTGATGTTAAAGGTTAATGCAATTCAACAAACATTGAAACTAGATGGTTACAAACTAGATGATACAGCATACAATGCCCAGCCTTTTGCGCGTTTATAATGCCATTAGAGACTGAGTTGCAGTTATTCATACTTTGCTGTATTAAATAAAATATCAAAATACCATAGAAACCAACGAGCATGTAAATTATTTTTGGCCAAATGTTCTGTAAAAATATTCCAACCTCAAAAGTGATTAAAGCTACTCGCATGAAAGGATTCAGTTCCATCAGAGTCAGAAATGTTCTGGCATGACGCCGTGCAGGCAAAAATAATGTGAATAAAAAAACATGTTCGAGAGCGGCTTGAAAAACTTGAGACGGTCGGACGCGCGCAACAGGTTACTGCTCATTCATACGGTGGTCAGGAAGAAAGGATCAAATGTTTAATTGCACTACCGGTCCACAGGAATCCTACATCATAAAGCTATAGAGCTCTTAAAATAAGAAAATAGCAGGGTATTTTTTGGTTCAGCCATTGTTCGACATGCAAGTCTATGATGATGAGTTACACTAAATTCATTTCAACCCTTTAGCGTGCTGGCAGTAACTCTCGGGCCATTGGATACAGAAAGCTGTGATGACAGTTGATGCTCACATAGACAAAAGCTCAAATAAATATTTGACCGTGAAAACGAATAGCTAAGAAAAGAATTATGGCACGATAAAATAAGTTTAGTTGTACAGGTCGCAAGCAAATGGAAAGAATTTCGTTAATTCTCGCATCTTAACTTGGTTCCCGCGTCCCATGCAGTGGGATTCAGGAAAAGGCGGATAAGGCCATGAGTGAACCTTGAGCCATCAGCCATATCCACCATAAGTAATTATGATCGCGAATTCTTTCAAGGCGACCATGGGTGGAAAAACAGTCTGACATTAACTGCCAAGACAACGTTCAGTTCCGCGTCCTAAATCCATGATCGCACCTAGAGAGACTGTGTCCCTTATGACCTAAGCGCACGACATCATTTTAATTTTTCATTTTGATACGGCTATATCTACCTGGGCTATAGGTTAAATTCACTGCTCTATCAGACAAATGGGTCCACTTTCCAATTTATTCACGCTAGCCCATTTCAATCACGTTATTACCGTTTGTTCCTATTATTTCGCTTAATCATATTATTCCAATGTATTAACGCTAGTCGCATTTTGTCACATTTTTGTTCGCGACATTCAGACTGGATTAGAAGTTTACTCTTCACCACCCACACCCACGAAGTGCCTCTCTCTCAACAACGCTATTCTTACGTGACCTGCAATGCAGCCATGCGAGAAGACCTCCCGGCCCTACCACGTGTTAAAGTTCAGCCTGCGTGCCATTTCCAAGCAGATGTTGAACACTTCAACTTTATCCTACTTTCTCCCACCACAAGAGTTCACTTTCACCTTCCTCTTAAACTGAAAGTAAACGCAGAACAAGCGCAAGTTTTTTTCAGCGCAGGATCGAGCTGGAGCTTCCTGGGCGTCCGACGACGCGGGGCAGACACTTTCATTTGCGTGTATGATACACTAACTGGACCGACACAATAGCTGGACCGACACAATAGCTGGACCGGCACAATAGCTGGACCGACACAATAGCTGGACCGACACAATACCTGGACAGAGACAATAACTGGACAGACACAATAGCTGGACCGATACAATAGCTGGACCGACACAATAACTGCTGGACAGACACAATAGCTGGACCAACACAATACCTGGACAGAGACAATAACTGGACAGACACAATAGCTGAACCGACACAATACCTGGACCGACGCAATAGCTGGACCAACACAATACCTGGACAGAGACAATAACTGGACAGACACAATAGCTGGACCGACACAATAACTGGACAGACACAATAGCTGGACCAACACAATACCTGGACAGAGACAATAACTGGACAGACACAATAGCTGAACCGACACAATACCTGGACCGACGCAATAGCTGGAAAAATACAATAGCTGGACAGACACAATATAGGCGGCGATATAACCAATGAGTGCTTCATAACAAACTGGGGCGACCAAGTAAACTGGGGCGTTAGAGTTCACTGCGTGGAGCAAGCATTTTACGAAGCAGTTTACCCCATTAACGCTAGTATCCATAATGGGAAAGAAGAATGAGGCATGAGTAGCGAGGCATGTGGAAAGAGGCATAAGGAGAGGCATGAGGAAAGAGGACTGAGGAAAGAGGTATGAGGAGTGAAGCATGAGGAAAGAGGTATGAGGAGTGAGGCATGAGGAAAGAGGTATGAGGAGTGAGGCATGAGGAAAGAGGTATGAGGAGTGAGGCATGAGGAAAGAGATAGGAGGAGAGAGGAATGAGAAAAAAGGCATGAGGAAAGAGGTATTAGGAGAGAGGCATGAGGAGAGAGGCAAGAGAAAAGAGGCATGAGGAAAGAGGCCTGTGACGGTACATTTTTTGGTCCAGCCGAAAAAAGAGGTATATTAGCGGAGAGGCATAGGAACGGGACGTGAGGAATTGAGGAATGATGAGTGAAGCATGAGGCGTGAGGAATGAGGCATGCAGGTCTAATGCAGTCGGTGAGCGAATCCAACGCGATAAATAATCACTTTTAGCTATGAATACGAACTTAACGATAAAAATCACAAATAACTCAAAAACAGTTAGATGAAACTGGTTGTTTAATTATTATTCGACGCTTCATTGAAAGGCACGCAATAGCAAACATTTTGAAGGTAATTTAATGGATGATAGTACCTATTTTAATGGGTAATGGGTATTTTAATGGATTATTTAATAGGTAATTTGATGGGTACTTTATAGGTAATTTAATAGATAATTTAATGGGTTATTTAATAGCTAATTCATTAGTTATTCAATAGGTAATAGGTAAGGTAATAAAGGTACCCTTCTTGAGGACGCTGCCAGGCCTGCAGGATACAGCAGCGTAGGTCTGCTGGCAGGCCCCCAGCAGCCGCTGCAGGGCAGCCGCCGTCGTGCAGGACTCTTCACTGCGCAGCCTCTTCTGCAGCTCCTCCAGCTGCCGGTGACTCTCCTCACACTCTTCTACGAACTGCTCGTACGCCTGCGTGGGGGAGGGACACCCATACTGAGGGGAGGGACACCCATACTGAGGGGAGGGACACCCATACTGAGGGGAGGGACACCCTTACTGAGGGGAGCTGAGGGCAGGGACACCCGTACTGAGGGGAGGGACACCCGTACTGAAGGGAGGAACACCCATACTGCATGAGGGGAGTTGAGGGGAGGGACACCCGTATTGGGGGGAGGGACACCCAGACTGAGGGGATTGACACCCATACCTCTACAGTCCGCAGGATTGTCAGTAACGCGATGATGTAGCAATATATTGCAATCCGATTAAGCTGTAATAATCTATTCAAAGGAATATAGAATTTTCACAGTAGAGATCATACATTATTGATTAGTTCATCGTGCACCATCAATTGCGATTGACAATTTCAATATTCGCAGTTTTCATGACATTACGTCCATGGACAACATTCAATAGTAGCGCTTTCCGACGGCAACATCCTAACCCACCTTGCGCTTGCTGACCCACTTGACAGCACTCGAGCAACACCATGACCCACCTTGCGCTTGCTGACCCACTTGACAGCACTCGAGCAACAACTCGAGCAACACCATGACCCACTTGGCAGCACTCGAGCAGCACCATGACCCACTTGGCAGCACTTGAGCAGCACCATGACCCACTTGGCAGTGCTCGAGCAACACCATGACCCACCTTGCGCTTGCTGACCCACGTGGCGTGGCAGTATTGCAGTGTACCGCCAAGCTCCACAGGCAGGCGCGAAGGTTCGATGTAGCGAGCGATCTTGCCAGTGGTCGTGTAGACGGGCTGGGGGCAAGCGAATGTTTTTTCAGGGCAATGAAACAAAAATATAACTCAGTACTCACTGCAGTGAATGACAGAGAGCGCATTTTCTCGTCGACGAAAACGTGAAGTCACGGACAGACGGACGGACGGACGGACGGACGGACGGATGGATGAACATGACGAGCACAATAGCACCTTTTTCCAAAAATTGGAAAATGCGCTAAAAACACGAAGACCGTTAACTTATTGGAACGTTTCAGGCAATATGCGCACTGTTTCTGTATTTTAAACTCGCTCAAGTTGATGTTCCTTCTATTTTGAAACATTGAGAGTTAATTACGAGTATAAAAATTACTATGATAAACAACAATAATTTATATTTTTCAGGCTTCAATCGTTATTTCAACGTAGATTTGGCCATAAAAGAAATAAAGGTTAATCGAATATATAGTGGGGGAAATTTTCGTGTGGTGTCAGCTGACTTGTGAAGAAAATTCTTATCTTAAATCTCATAGGCAGCACTCGGCTCTACTTTTCATGGCATATTAAATATCATAAATATTAACCGTGGCATTGCTTCTTTTATATAGACGGAAAGAAACTTCTTAGTAGATTAAGTGTTGGACGTCTTTTACATCAACTTGACAGCAACCTATATGACTGCATCATTATTGTCGCCACCCCGACGCACCTGGTTGTCGAGCAATCTACATGATCGCTGCAACACCGCCACCCCGACGCATCTGGTTGTCGAGCAATCTACATGATCGCTGCAACACCGCCACCCCGACGCATCTGGTTGTCGGGCAATCTACATGATCCCTGCAACACCGCCACCCCGACGCACCTGGTTGTCGGGCAATCTACATGATCCCTGCAACACCGCCACCCCGACGCACCAGGTTGTCGGGTAATCTACATGATCCCTGTAATACCGCCACCCCGACGTACCTGGTTATCAAGTTCAGCCTTGCGGCAGTCGACGCGCTGTTTGTCCCAGAAGGCGTCGGGGCGCAGCACCAGCAGCAGCCTGATGTTACCCAGCGCCGCCCTTATGGTGCTCGTCGCGTGCTTCACCTGCCGGTAGTGGCACTGCCGGGCGTCCACCACCACCACCCAGCCACGGTCCACGCTCGTCTTGCTGCACCCACGCAATCAGCAGCACGGTTATTCTTCTCATTGATATTACAAGTAATTAGAAATAAGCGGTCGCATCAAATATTGCAGGCAAAACAATGATAATTTATCAACAATTAAAATCCCATAACCAGACGACCCACACAGTGAGCTTGTCATGATGTCCGGACAAAAAAATATTAACCTTCGACCTAATAATGCTCTTTCGACCTTTTAATATAATTGAATCATATTAAAAGACGGCCCACTGCTTAACCTCCGACCAAATAATGCAATTTATTAAAATATATTAATTAAAAGATTGCCCACTGCAATAGGTAATGGCTCACTCACCTGGGGATGGTCTTGAGGTACTTGAGTGTGTCAGAGATGCCCCCCACGTCCTGTTGGTTGGGGTCGGGAGGCAGGGGCACCACAAGTATGGGCCCACCGCCCCCGTCCGACGACCCTGGCAGGTACGCAAGCCTCCGCTGCAGCTGCACTTCCCACTCCTTGCTACCCATCGCCTGGGGAACACATTTGCATATATTTTATCTATATAGACGTATGACCACGGGTTATCTTCACAAGCTGCTTGTGGAGATATGACCATGACAGCTTTATGTGGAGGCATTTCTATTCCATTTGAAACTCTAAACCGCTATTGGCCCCGATCATTTCCGGACAGAGCCGCGAAACAATACTCGGCCAGCTATCTCTGTAACAACTCTACACCAATGCTGTTTCAGAGAAAAACTCTTCAAGCCGGGCAGGGCCGAAATTCAGTACTTTTATGACGCTGCCACATGGGTTGACCAGCTGAGCGCCCAGCCAAGCACTTCTGCAGGCCCTACACTACAGGTTATGAGGTATGGAAGTAGAGGAGAGTTGAAAACAGGGTAATTCATTCTTCATTCTTCGTGTAGCACACGTGACATAATTCGTTATGTTGGGTTCATATCAGAAGCCAGTTATGATTTGCAGGCAGAAATTCACAAAATTCAGGAAAATTTGACATTAATACAAAACATTAATGCAGCAGTATGAAAGCAAACTCAAAAGACATCTATGATGAACTTTTAACCCTGGATCGAACTTTTCATTCAACACTTTTAAATGAAGAATATTTTTAATTGGTGCAGCAATTATTGAGCCATTCAACTTTTACTTAATTCTTGCAGCAGGAGGTAAATAGATTAATCCTTTTAATATAAGTACAGTTGAGGGTAAACGTTTCGTTTTGCTGAATTTTAAAACTAAAAAATTTAAACTCTTCCATTAACTACATAAATGATAGAGTCTGATCTCCGGTTTGGAACTCTTCCCCACTACCTCATGTCAAAACCTCCTGCATACAACTGCTGGCTACTCTCACTGTCGGGCAACCCTTGGGGCCTTTTTCTCTGAATCACCTATTTTCTGAATCAGCTATTCTCTGAATCAACTATATCTATCGGCTGTTTTAGAGATAGCTGGCCAGATATAGCTTCCCGGCTCCGTCCGGCTAAAGCGCGGCTGTTCCAGTCAAGATCAGTGCCGGTCTCGGCTCAAATTCTGACAGGGATGGCTACCATATATTGAAGCATGATCATGGCTGCCTTATGCAGAGGCAAGACCGTAAAAACTATTAGAAGAGGTATTTCTTGGTAAATTTTATTTCAAAACAAAGACCGTAATATTCAACCCACCGAACACATGAAATTATAGCCCATCGCTCACGTGATGAGAGTTTGATCATCGTGGCGCTAGTTCCAAATATCATTTAAGACCATATACACTCAGGATATGAAGGGTATATATAGTTACTAGTCACTAGCATAAGCAGTATACAGTACTAAGTTAATCACTAGCACTAGTAGTGCACTGAAATCCTCTCAAGTAATGGCCATGTTAGGAGAGGATTGCAAATCAAGTTCAGATCATTTCCTTAGTACAATGAGCTTTTAATTTGCGACGTCAAAATTACCCTGACAGATAATGAATAAAAAAAGATAATCATAAAACGTATTGAAAGTCCCAAAAATCTGAATAATTCCGCGAAAAAGATATAAATTAGGACAACATAAACTCATAATATTCAAGATTCTGCTAATGGGTGGACGAAATTTTTCCAGTTCGATCAGGTGGAAGGCAGTTCATATCAATATTAATTTTCCGTACAATGAAGAATTCGACGCTGACTTTAAATATAGAAGTACGTGGGTCTTATATTAAACATATGAGAAATATCAGGAAAAATATGTGTTTGGTGCAGAAGTCCAGTGATCGAGGTAGATTACGCGGGCTCATACCGTCAAATTGAACTTCTAGATAGTTCGAAATTGAAAATGAGTTGTTCAGAGACATGATATAGACACACGTGATTTACTTTTACGTGAAAAATGCCGGCAATAAATAACCAAGTTTTAAGGTGCATTATAATAAAATTTAATGTTTATTATTTTGCACCCTATGCAGGTAGGATTATCTCCATATAATTACTATTATGATTTCTACTTATGTCATATTGCTAGATCCTTGTAACACTACTTCTATAACAGGGGGATATGCACAATTCCTACCGTAAATGAGAGCAAAAAACGGATTTTGATTTTCTTTGTTGTTTACAAGACCGAGTTTGTTGTGATGACCAAATCAATAGCTTCCGATTCTTCTTTTGCTGAGGGAGATAACAATCAACTGAAGTAGAAAAAACAACAACACAAATCACCAGATTAATTGCTTGGCGCACGCTTGGGAGCAACATATTTTTCATCTATTTCACACACTCATTCGCATTTTTACCATAAGAAACAGTTTAGTGGATATGAACATGAAAATTTCACAGTCATATAGTTAACATAATGTATCGAGAAGTGTGCCACTGAAGCGACTCGTTAAAATATTGAACAGGAGGTTGGCAGTGAGATGCTGTACTTCAACGCGTACTGGAACGCTGCATTTAAACATTGCCCTTTACAAGTGGTCTCATGTGTGACCTGAAACTTTGAATTGGAACGTGATCCTGAAACATGGCATAGGTACATGATACTGCCATGTTGCATTGGAATGTTGGATTAGAACATGGCACAGGCACGTTGCATTGGAACGTGGCACAGGCACGTTGCATTGAAATGTGGCACAGGCACGTTGCATTGGAACGTGGCACAGGCACGTTGCATTGGAACGTGGCACAGGCACGTTGCATTGGAACNTTGAATGGGGCTATGCAGTTGTGTTTGTATGGGGCAATGTAGATGTGTTTGTATGGGACTGTCTATAATATGGGCTAGTATGGAGATGATTGTGCTTGTATGTGTCTGTTAGTGCTTTTCACAGGGCAGTGAGAAAATGTTTCGACAGGTCTGAGTTAATGGTTGCAAAGGGCTGAGTGAGTTTTTATAGTGCTGCGAAAGGGGTTTTTATATTTTTTTAATGAGGCTGCAGTTATGCGTCTTTATATTGTAGAACTGGTTTTATTGTCCACGCGGAATGTTTTGATGCGGACAGAGAGGGACGCATAGAAAGCAACATGTTCAAGAGAGGGTAGGAAAAAATAAGCCCAGTGGGCAACGCTGAGGGAAGGTCAGAGGGCAACGCCGAGGGAAGGTCAGAGGGCAACGCCGAGGGAAGGTAAGAGGGCAACGCCAAGGGGAAGTTCAGAGGGCAACGCTGAGGGAAGGTAAGAGGGCAACGCAGAGGGAAGATCAAAGGACAACGCAGAAGGAAGGTCAGAGGGCAACGCCGAGGGAAGGTAAGAGGGCAACGCCGAGGGAAGGTCAGAGGACAACGCAGAAGGAAGGTCAGAGGGCAACGCTGAGGGAAGGTAAGAGGGCAACGCAGAGGGAAGATCAAAGGACAACGCAGAAGGAAGGTCAGAGGGCAACGCCGAGGGAAGGTAAGAGGGCAACGCCGAGGGAAGGTCAGAGGACAACGCAGAAGGAAGGTCAGAGGGCAACGCTGAGGGAAGGTAAGAGGGCAACGCAGAGGGAAGATCAAAGGACAACGCAGAAGGAAGGTCAGAGGGCAACGCCGAGGGAAGGTAAGAGGGCAACGCCGAGGGAAGGTCAGAGGACAACGCAGAAGGAAGGTCAGAGGGCAACGCTGAGGGAAGGTAAGAGGGCAACGCAGAGGGAAGATCAAAGGACAACGCAGAAGGAAGGTCAGAGGGCAACGCCGAGGGAAGGTAAGAGGGCAACGCCGAGGGAAGGTCAGAGGACAACGCAGAAGGAAGGTCAGAGGGCAACGCTGAGGGAAGGTAAGAGGGCAACGCAGAGGGAAGATCAAAGGACAACGCAGAAGGAAGGTCAGAGGGCAACGCCGAGGGAAGGTAAGAGGGCAACGCCGAGGGAAGGTCAGAGGACAACGCAGAAGGAAGGTCAGAGGGCAACGCTGAGGGAAGGTAAGAGGGCAACGNCCATACCAGCCTCACATGCCCACCATACCAGCCTCACATGCCCACCATACCAGCCTCACATGCCCACCATACCAGCCTCACATGCCCACCATACCAGCCTCACAAGCCCACCGTGGCACCCCCGCTGAGCTGACAGTCAAATGATTATTGCTGCGGTTATAGCTCATTGCCTCCACGCACGCAATCGCAACTGCGACAATACCGGACAATAGTAGACGGTCAGGCCGGGATTGCAGCAGACGGATTATAGGAGTGATTGTCAGGCCGTGATTGCAGCAGACTGACTGTAGGGGCGATTGTCAGGCCGTGATTGCTGCAGATGGACTGTAAGGGCGATTGTCAGGCCGGGATTGCAGCAGACGGATTATAGGAGTGATTGTCAGGCCGTGATTGCAGCAGACGGACTGTAGGGGCGATTGTCAGGCCGTGATTGCTGCAGATGGACTGTAAGGGCGATTGTCAGGCCGTGATTGCTGCAGACGGACTGTAGGAGTGATTGTCAGGCCGTGATTGCAGCAGACGGACTGAATAATTCGGACAGCACAAATATAAGCGAACTGACACAAAATCCCGTGAGTTTCCAATCGCCGTCTCTTTTCTTTACAATTAAAATCAATAACATTGAAACGCTATTACACATTTGGTCGTAAGTTGTACTCTAGTCGTGAGTCTTACTCTGGTCGTAAGTTGTACTCTGGTCGTAAGTTGTACTCTGGTCGTAGTTGTACTCTGGTCGTAAGTTGTACTCTGGTCGTAAGTTGTACTCTGGTCGTAGGTTGTACTCTAGTCGTAGGTTGTACTCTGGTCGTAAGTCGTACTCTGGTCGTAAGTTGTAACAGATGTTTGCCACAGACATTCGTTGTCATGACGACAAGAGATATGTATAACATACGACCCAAACTTGGCGCAAATAATGACAAATAATTAAGACTGCAATACAGTTGTAAAATGATCATTTTAATTATGTGCTGATGAGCCGCAGTGACGGACGGACGGGGCGGCAGCAGCGGAGAACAAGTACACAGTTGGAGCGACAAACAGGACGTGTGGTAACAACAGCATTCCTGGCTAATAGCACTGCTACACCTGTGCTGCTATGCTGCCGTGCTGTAGTGCTATGGTGCTAGTAGTGCTATGGTGTAGCTAGTGCTATGGTGCAGCTAGTGCTATGGTGCTGTGGTGCTGTCGTGTTATGGTGCTGCCGTGCTATGTACTGCAGTGCTGCAGTGCTATGGTGCTTCAGTGCTATGGTGCTGCTAGTGCTATGGTGCTGTGGTGATGCAGTGTTGTGGTGCTGCCGTGCTGAAGTGCTATGGTGCTACAGTGTTATGGTACTGCAGTGCTGCCGTGCTGCAGTGCTATGGTGCTGCCGTGCTGCAGTGCTATGGTGCTGCCGTGCTGCAGTGCTATGGTGCTGCCGTGCTGCAGTGCTATGGTGCTTCAGTGCTATGGTGNTTCATCACTCCCATCGCTGCCATCTACTACTCTCATCACTCCCCTTCATCACATTCACAACTTTCAAAGTGGTGAATGTGAAAATTGTATTTTCCATTCAAATTGTAACGCAGAAGCTGAGAGCCTCCAGTGCCTGTCATAGACGCACCATCGCCGGCCAGCGGACGGCAGATGGCAGAGCGACGGTAGTCCTAGACAAGTGTGATCAATGCGTTAATTTAAGGGAATATTGATCGCATTGTAAGTCTCGCGATAAGTGAGAGTTGCTTCATTGCAGGGATGAAGCACAGCGGCCGCTGTGCTTCATCCCTGCAATGAAGCAACTCTCACTTATCGCGAGACTTACAATGCGATCAATATTCCCTTAAATTAACGCATTGATCACACTTGTCTAGGACTACCGTCGCTCTGCCATCTGCCGTCCGCTGGCCGGCGATGGTGCGTCTATGACAGGCACTGGAGGCTCTCAGCTTCTGCGTTACAATTTGAATGGAAAATACAATTTTCACATTCACCACTTTGAAAGTTGTGAATGTGATGAAGGGGAGTGATGAGAGTAGTAGATGGCAGCGATGGGAGTGATGAAGGAGAGTGATGAGGAGGAATGACGTGAGGGATCAGAGGTGGCCAACCGCCGGCCACACTTGGCTGCCATTGAGGCGCCCAAGATCCGAAGAAGACGAGCGACGTCTCTGGAATGCGCGGCTTTCACCGGCACGTCAGGCAACGATACATCAACTGCATCACCTTGGTACATCGCCAGCATCATATCGATGCATCGCCTGCATCATATCGGTGCATCGCCTGCATCATATCGGTGCATCGCCGGAATCACATCGGTACATCGCCAGCATCATATCGATGCATCGCCTGCATCACATCGGTACATCGCCTGCATCACATTGGTGCAGTACGCATGGCGGCAGCGGCAGTACTCATGGTGGCAGCGGCAGTACTCATGGTGACAGCGGCAGAGTTAGAAGGAGATCAATAGAAGGAGGCTCGCAGGATGCTCATGCGACGTCAGTGCATCCCTTAATAATCCTAAGTCAGCTTAGGATTATTACATAGATTGTTGTTCAGGGTCACTAATTGCCCAAAAGTTTTTAACCCATCAAGATACTCGCGCATGAAAAATACAAACAAAATTAAAGTAGAACCCCAATAATTCTGGTCCCACATATTATGTTTACCATTGCATCATGAATAGAATGCAATCAATTTTACAGTACACAATTCAGTAGGTGGACGTCTAATAAATACATAGAGAAATAACGAAAAACAATCTCATTTAACGCTCAAAGTGGCAAAATATTAACAGAAAAAATCAAAGTTGTACTTATATTTGTTACCAAACCGTATAAAAATTTGTCGTATTCAAGGACGAAGGCAGATGGACATTTGATTTATTTAATAAAATTATTATCTTAGTCAAATCATTTTTTACTGTACATTTTAAACCCGACTGCCGCCTGTCATTAAGCCAAATAATGTGCCCAATGGAGAAAAATGTTATTTTTTATTGCAACTGCATGCATTTATCAATAAGCACCGACACGCATATCGTGCGCACGTTTCAAGCGCTTCGAAAACCAAACCAAGTAAAGTCAGAAATTAATATTTAACCCAAAGTCCCGAACAGAATCACTACGAACGAAGGTGAAATTGAATTTTGAGGAACGATTTGTTCATACAAGGAATATTAATTGATTTAACATACAAGATGAAATTTATTTAACATATACTCAGAAACGATTTCTTCATACAAGGAATACGTTGGACTGTTTCTCCTTTGAACCTTTCTCTTCTGAAAGTTTAACCGAATAAATCATCATATCTACGTTTTATTCCAAGCTACGGCAAAAAGCTATACGGTACGCTAAGAACAGGGCTTACAACCAAATCAGAGAGAACTGTAGATCTGTGAAACAGATAGAAAAGATAATACCGAAGAAATGATTGCTGAAATGAGTTTTAAGTCATGAGCACCTCTCCATAAATGGCCTGTTCAATGCACGTACTGTCAGCGAGGAAGAAATAAGAGGAACGCCGCCCTCAATAGAAGGAAAAAAGCATAAGGTTTTATAATTCACAGCATAAAACAGCGAACTTTCCCCTTCTATTTAACAGAAGGAAGAAAATTATGAAAAATTTAGTATAGAATTTTGTATAGAAAAATGCAAAATTTTGTACCGTATGACAGTAAATACGAAAAGGTTTATTTTAGGTACTATCAGAGATAAATAAATGTCGGCGAATCTACCCGCGTAAATATCTCCTAACCCGGCAAGTTTTTCTTTCAAAACCAATTTTTATGTCGTTCAATAACAACGTTTTACAACTTTCAATAACAACATATTACAACCTTCGGTTATGGCTTTTCTCCTCGATTGTATACATTGCGGTGACTGACTTAATGTTTAAGTTATGCTATATTTCATGTTATATGAAGGTTGCAATGTTCGAATGCTCTATAACTTGATTAATTTGAAATATCCTAATCGTATACGAACGCGCGATGTTGATCGAGTGACTCGAAATGAATCACTATTTTTATTTTTATAGTTTATTACGTTTATATCATAATTTTAGCTAATAAATTAAACGCTAAGAGACGAAACAAATTACTCATACTTCAATGTTTATTACACCCGTCCCGGGATTTTATAAACAATTACATCGCAAGGACACGAGTTGGTAGTTTGTTATGTTCTTATATCTTGACTTTCAGACAGATAAAACGTCGGTCCCATTCACAGCATTTATCCATACAGCATATTTAAAACCAACTATATAGGAATGCCTCCCTCTCTAGGTTTCCTTCCTAGATACAATTAGAAGCTCTTAAATTTACATCACAGCCTATGGTCACTATACACCGCTCCACTGGCTTTCGAAACCTCGTGTAGCGACGTATATGACAGTACATCAAGAAAATCAGAAGCTCATTTTCCTATCAAACTTAGGTTGACTAACGTATTAAGCAGTTGACTTAAAGGAAGCACTGTCTTTTGTGAACTTCATTGAAAAAGAAGTTTCAAAATTTCCAATTTCGGGAACATATACATAGTCTAGAATTGAAGGCTAAGAAGCTAAGCGAAGCGATGCACCAGTAAAAGTGTGGTGCGCTGCGTAGAAACAAACAAAATACTAAAAGTCCAAAATTATTTGTAAATATTTTTAAATTCTTGGGCAATATACCATTTTTTTAACTGCTCGTCTCGCTTGTCCGTTAGACGCCGGGATTTAGGAAGGCAAGAGTCGTGCGATGAATACGAAATCAACAATTCCTAACTAGAGAAATATTTCGCATGACAATTAATTCCAAATAATGAATAGGTATGTTTCAATGCATCAATAATCACAAAACGTTATATTCCCGTAAAATAAATCATGGAAATTAATTGTAGCAATTTTCGATAAGAATTAGTTTAAAAATTAGTACGTTTCTGCAGTGGCATGCGACGAATAATATAGCATGTCCCAAAAGATATTGGGACCACCTGCAAGATCGTTGACGTTGGTGATCAACGATCGTACAAGCGGTTTGAATGCGGTACTTCAAGGTTCACCATCATGAACATATATACAGATTCTACGTCTCAACGTATATTACATTGCTTATTGCTCAAAATAGTGCAAACCTATGTCTGAGTAAACTCATCGTTGACATATTTGATATGCACCAATTCTGAATCAACCTGGAAACAAGGTGCAGGCATGGCACCCATCGATTTTATGGTACATACTATTATTGTACGCAGTTCGGTGAATCGCATTCTAGAGAAGACAGGAGACTTTGATTCAGGCGACTGATTCCTTATTAGTTACCATGGATTGATGCATATAAAATTATCACAACTCATCGGAGATGAAAGTTGGATTCCAAGTACTACTCTTTTTACAAATCTCTGCCAGATGAACAACTTGCTAACCGTCGACAAAACGGACTTGATGGAGTAATGAACTATTATCAAACTTGACGAAGATAATGTATTCTAAAAAGTCACCTAAATTTCTGCCATAATCTTTTTCTCGGCGTGTTGTAGACTGAACAGCAGTGGTAAAATGTCAAGTTTATGCGTTCGCTAGAATATTGATAGAACTCTAGCTTCAATTTACGAAAAAAATTGTTGGCACCACAAGCGCAAATCTGTGACAAGAGACAATAATTCACTACGTATATCTTATGTACGATGTCGGAAGGCAAATAGAATCAACTGTCTCTAATTTTCTTCTATAACTTATTCAAAATTTACCTAAATTTGGGAAGCGGCGAAGGTTACCCACATAAACGTTTCTTTGAACCACATCAATACTAATGCTCCATCTCCGGGAGGAGTAAGAAAGAAGCTTGCTACCGCCCGAACCGAATCACTGGCACTGGTCCCGATCTCCACGAGGCAACAGTGAGGGAAATATTTTCTGCTTGGGTCATGACGTCGGGTGACAGTCTGGGTCGCGGGTGAAACCGCATGCCACAGCAGTGTCAATATAATTTCTGGTTTTGATGCAGGGAAAAACATTATGTCATTCCGAGATTAACAACAACTTTGAAGAAATCAATCTTTCTATAATAACACCAGACAAAATTTAAATACCATTCTAGCGTGTGCCGTGTGCGACCTTCCACTCTTCAGTTCAACTCTAAGTTCAAACCGAGAGGTGCTTGGCCGCTATAGTAGGCAGGCTGAGCAAGTAACTGTCCGCTGCCCAATGAAGCGCAAGTCTAGCCAAGAAGAAGGCACCGCATGCCTGTCTAGTCCTAACCTTCCTCACCTGTGCCAACACTAGCGAAAACTTCCGTCCGTTGATCCGTTCCTGTACACGTGTGTTCCTTTCTTTTAATTAATGCTCCAAGTTTTAAGTAAATATAGTATCACTCCTTCAAAACAATCTCAGCTACTGAGTCTTCATAGAGTATGAAATCAGTCACGAATGCCATTTCTGATATTTCCTCAGGCATCGACTGGAACACGCAGGGAACAGAAGTCACTGGGAGACCGAACGACACATCCTAACCCTAGCTCTCCACTGGAAGCACTGAACTAATAACTGAGTAGTGAGTACTGGAGTAACTGGACACTCTCTCACTTATGCCTGGTATAACATTCTCACCTCCGTCCGTTTCATTATTGGAAGAGGAAAAAAAGTAAAGTACATCCAGTGAACGTACCAAACAAAGTCGCCTGCAGCGATATCAGCAGGACGCACATGTGCTGCACACCTGCTGAAGCCGACGAAGCAAATTGAGTCAGCACGACAATTTAACTTCGGATCATTGAGCTGGACGGAGAGAGATCTCATATGACATAATGTTCTCCTTGAACGATCTACGGTCCTCTTATTCAAATGTTACTGATATATTTTTGAAACGAATTATCCACTGGTATGATATTACATATAGTTCTCTACATAACAACTATGCAGTAAGAGATCAGAACATTTTCGTCCTTTCACGTCTGATTAAGAAACTTATCTTTGCCCTATTACATAGCTCATGGCATTGTTCCTGTGACGGCCTAAATAACCACAAAAGAAAGCACTCGACATCCGGAAAATATGACAGCATTACGGCTTAAATGGAGCAACATGTAGGTGGATAGTTCATTGCAAAGCCTGTGCGTCGTTTAGTTGGTAAAATTGTCCAGTATACTGTTGCAATTACCGACTGAGCAGTCAAAATAACTTTTAAAAAAGCTATTTAAATTGAGAAAATTTTGCATTTGTTATTATCTAACAGTGGATTCAAGAATTGACAGGTGTCATGCATGGTTCTGTTGGAGATAAGAAAGCAAGCAATCATGTCCGGAGTCCGACTGCAACCTAGCCGAGAATGGAATAGCAACTGTTAATAGCCATAGCTATTCCATAGTTTGTAAGAGGGCGCGAAGTATCTGCGTTGAAAAGTTCGCTACAATCGCAGGATGTCTGCCGCAAACAGTTCAGTATATTTGGTACTTATTGCGTGTATTGAGACAGTGGTCGAGATCATAGGGTATTTCGTTGTGTGTGTCATCTTTATTATATATGCATCAAGTTGAGCACTAAACATTACTGGGGTTAATGATATTCAATAAGTATAAAATATGCATCAACGATTAATATGATTCTTTGAATGTGCCAACTTCATTCGCTTCACTTGAGGTTAACACTAAATTTCTTCAAGTGGTCAAATACGCATCTTGCTTTTATTAGCATATATTGTTCGTCATAGCGTATCTTGTATTAATAGCGTATCATATTCGTAATAGCGCATCTTGTTCGTAATAGCGCATCTTGTTCGTAATAGCGCATCTTGTTCGTAATAGCGCATCTTGTTCGTAATAGCGCATCTTGTTCGTAATAGCGCATCTCGTTCGTAATAGCGCATCTTGTTCGTAATAGCGGATCTCGTTCGTAATGGCGATGCTCGTTTCTAAACAAAATTAATCTTTTCACTATTGGACTTAACTAATGCGCACCAATTTGTGCTCAATATACTGCCGGCCAACTCTGGTTTATCAGTATACTGCCGGCCAACAAAATTCCGATGGGATTGAACCTTGATGCAAACAATCGAGATGGATTTGGTTGTGCTTCTTCACCTATTTTAGTGGAAGAAACACAGGACTGAATTCATACAGGCTTCAAATCAATATATTATAATTAAATGATTTCATGTGAATAGAGAGAAGAAAAAAAGATGTCAATAGGTCAACAATTCAATTATTCGAGATGTCTGGCAAGTCCATTCAGGATATAATGTATTACGGTCATACTATCCAAAATACTGAGTAATTTTGCCGGGAATGCAATCGCAGAATACTAAACCTGGCCAATGAGATCACTGTGCTTTTCTATTGTGTCCGGACACGATTGTTTAAAGAATAAAATGTTGCTGTAGGTTTAGTAAAATAAATGGAACAAAGTACAACACAACTGTAGACTATGCATATATTCATTATCTCTGTACATTTATTAAAATATACACTTAATTACTGCACAGTAGTTTAACAACAATATAATTCACCCCTCGAAGAAAGCTACATTGCTTCTGGCAACGAGTTAGTCTAGCCTGTCTTGGACAAACGAGGCTCTCTGTAGTTATGTTACAGCGATCAAAATATGTAAAAATTCATTTAAGTAAGAGTTTGAAATTCATTTAATACGCTATACAAACAAGGCTATCCGAGCTCAAAGATAGCGCAAAAATTACTTTGCGTCAGAATTTGGGCAGCGCTAGCGTGGATCATCTTTCTGACAATCACTTATGAAATAAAATGCTGGCAGCTAATTTATCCCTTAATATACAAGAGAAAAAATTAAATTTAATAAAATCATTATTAAAAGGTCCTCGATCATTGTTTTAACACTGAAATTACCACATCCCAATTAAGCACAAGAATGATCCAGTTAAATCTGAAACATCTCTGGTTTATTTATAGTTCATTTCTTATTATTATTGATATACTCATAGAAGGAAATGCGTTTTGATCGGCATTCGTCAACACCTAATTACTACCTAGCATCGCCTAACACGCATAAGCGATTACATTCATGTGATCTGATCGCTATCGTGAGGAGTCGTGAGTAACTCGATATTGATGCTTCCGCACAACCGAGTTAGTGCCCATGTGGTTGATCTTTCCGCATATTCATCTCGAGAAACTCCTGCCTGGCACAGCACGGATCAAGGGAGCTCGTATATACAAAACAATCCATGTTGTAGCTTGAATGTCTGCCACTGCCGCAGTCGCTGACGTTGTGTTCAAAATATCAGGATCTACTCTTTAACAAGGAAACGTCATTCTTCGTCCGATGATCCGATCATAACGAGTGACTAGAAAAACAGGCTCGCGGGACTGTGAAATTGACCTGTCGAAATAAAGAGTCAGCCTCGTCGGAAGTATCCCAAGAATATAGTGTTTTATTATGGCACATGTGGCGATAACTCCCAAATTTAACCAATTTGCTAATTGCCCTTACGTTTTATTTTCGTTTACGTATTTCTTTTCTCGTATGCGACAGGACGAGCAAATTTACCGTGCCCGGGGTGCCAGAGTTCACACACTAGCGGCTTGTTCTTGCGCTTGTTTGGCGGCGCGCTTGACAGCATCGAGACAGCTCTGCGCCTCCCGCTGCGTCTCGCCGTCACCAGCACCGCGCGCGAGTTTGACGCCCTCTTCGCACGACCGCCGCGCCGCCTCCCTCCGCCCACGGAGCAGCTCGACGGTGCCGAGGTTGATGAGGTACGTCGCGAGGTTAGTGGCAGCGCTAGGCTGGCGGGGGTCTGGGATGACGTTGAGCTTGCGAGGTGCTGGCGGGTTGCCCTGCGCCACTTCGCCGGCCTCATTGGAAATCACCCGACGCACTGCCGCGATTGCCTCTTCGATCTCCTCCGCTGCTTCTTGGTAGCGCTTTTCTTGGGCATACAGCGACCCTGCACAGAAAATGGTAGGTATAACAGTCGAGCAGTTGAACGAAATAAAATTGATAATAGAGCGAAAATAAAGAGAAAAATCTACCGGTAAAAAGAGACAAGTGTAAAGCAATTATCTTTGGTAATTATTTTCATTATGAACGAACGCTGGTATTTAATTGATAACCTGTCATCAGAAGGAACATGAAGATGAAAGGACTAAAGAGAAATCAAGAATTTTCCGAATTTTGACGCTCTGCTTTGAATGCCATGGAAATGGTGTCACAATTAGATGCTGACACATCTCCCCAATGACCTGTCAACAGAATCTTCTGGATTAAAATCTTCACATTGTGCAGAGTAATTCAGCCGGTAAATATGATAGCAGCAACACAGTCTGCTCTCTCGGGGTGACAACTTGTAATTGTGCTAAGGAGCAACGAAAAAGAGTTGACGAGGTTGTCATCAAATTGCACCGCAGAGAAAAGACAATTTCATATCAGAGAAAACAAATTTAGATGATGTCAATAAATTGACACTAAATTCATGCATATATCGCAACTCTCGCGTACGCTTCAATTTGTTCACGACCAAAATTTTCCACAGAATATCCAATGAATATATTTTGGCTCGATAGAAGACATGAAAACTTCGTAACAAGTGAGTATAAATTAATAATTCACCATTCATTTCGATGACTCGTTATTGGAAAAGATCTAGATGGCACCGTTGGGATGGATCCATTCAAGCAAAAGCTTATATTTCATTACAGCCAAAGTTCGCAAGTACGCTATAGGACACAACATCGAGTAGTCGAGCCAGTGAATTCATTCACCTTGCCAATTCATGGGACTGACTCTTGCAAACGTTTGGGTGTCCATTAGAACGACGCCTAAGTGTTACTAATTTACATTTTACAGTAAAAAAATGAGCGATTCCAGGATTGGAGAAACTACTGAAACGTAGGAGAGATATAATTTTGAATTTTCCTGCAGGTAAAAATTTATTTTTGAAGAGAGGTAGTTCTTTTATATTATAATTATAACGGCTTTTTCTGAACAACAGTTTCGCCAGCGTTAGTTCGCTTACGCTTGCACATTTCTTCTCTACGTATGATCTACAACTCAAATAATTCTAAATACCGCACCCAGAAAAGCCTAATAACCTTAGGTGAAAAGCCCAAAAAATCATAATTGACTTTAGGGAGACAAGCCCAAAAAAGCATACTTGACTAAGGAGACAAGTACAAAAAAGAATAATTGACTAGGATACAAGTCTAAAAAGAATAATTGACTAGGGAGACAAGCATAATTGACTAGGAAGACAAGTCCAAAAAAGCATAATTGACTAGGGAGACAAGTCCGAAAAAGCACCTGCGACGCGCAAGAGTACCAACCGATGTCGTTCTTGAGGACCGCAGTCTGGAGGTGGTGGGGGCCGTTGATGCTGACGCAGACGCCAAGGGCCTCCTGAAGATGGGTCCGGGCGAGCTCATAGCGCCCTATGGAGTGCAGCAGACGAGCGTACTGCTCCAAGCTCATGGCGTACAGCACCCGCGTGTCTTCGTCAGCGCCTTCGTCACTCGTTACTTTCTCTTTCTGGACAAAACCAATGAATTATTTTTATTGCACAGAAAATTACAAGATGAGTTCAAAATTGACGAAGTCGGTCGTAAACGCTAATACTTTGACGGATGAAAGTGCGCATTAAAAATTGTATCATCAAGTGCTTAAATAATAAATTAACAAAGATTTTAACGGCAAAGAAAACGTCAAACAAGCTTACGTCATCTTCATTGATACAAACGCATCTTTCTGAATCTCTTCTGGAATCATCAATTTTGAACTTTTTCATACTTGCCGAAAAATTCAATCCAATTAAATGTAGGCAAGGGTTCCACATTGAAACATTGCGAATATTTTCAGTTTTTTGGCTAGACAATTTCCTATATTTTAAGCTCATATTTCATAACAGACATATTGATAACAATATACATGATTTTATTACCCCTAATCTATAAGTATCCCTCTCTGGCAAGCTTATTCTTTGATTATCCCAAATTGTAATCTTTATCGATTCAATTACTCTGAAGCTTTTTCGACAGCAAAGGAAAAATTAAAGCTAACGCTCGATTTCAGACTCCAGTTTATCGCAAGCCGACTTTTACTGTTGGAAGCAGAAGCTCCATTAGTTTTTTTATCTGCGTCTGCAACTATACGTCCAAAGATTAAAACGTAGTTTTCAGGAAATGCTTTCCAAACGATTAGTTGCATGTATTGTTGAATAATAATTTTACGATGGGTTACATCTTCAAGTATACAGATAGCATTCCTATCTAGATGCGGTCCTCTTTGGTTAACGTATATATATAGTAGTTGTACGCGGTGTAATTCAGCGTTGGTCGGAATGGCGTCGTGTAACCTATAAGATTTTAAGAGCGTAAACGATTCTTGTATCTATTTCTCCACCTCTATTGCTTAAGAATTTGGGCGCTAGAAATCGTAGTGTTTTAAATAAAAACCTTGTTTAAACAAAGCTTGTGGTTCTTAATTGTTGACAATTGTTAATTGGTTAACAATTAAATTTTTTTGAAAAAGTTAATCAATCGGTTTTTAGTTCCTTCGCTCAATCATTTTGCATTTAGGTTGTAGTCTTTTTTCTTTTTTTTGTAAATTTGGTAATTATATTAATTGAACTTTTATTTTTTGACTTTGAACTAATGCTAGAGTTGATCGTCAAACGTTTACAGTAAAGATTTGGTGAATTCGCTTGACAGTTCAAATGCTTTTTAACTCCTGCGTATTAAATTATCTGAAGCGAGCGAGCACCTCATACACGAAAACTTCATACATTAATCAAATCAATAAAATGAACACCTTGCATCCTAATTTCAAAGTCAAATATATTCTGAACCAATAACAACATCAATCGCGAGAAAACAATAGTTATAATCATGCGATTGAAAGATATAATAAGGTTTTTATCGTGTCAAAGAATACAGTACAATATAGCAACGTATCAAACATATTCTCGTAATTTTACTTGCCAAATTTCTGTTCTCTCACAATGACACATGCAGCAGTATCGGAAAACCGAATATCGCGACCGTACATCAGAGTTTCAAAGCTGAATGTCACGTCACTGTTAGATTGCCAAATCTCATTACTTTGCTTGGTCAACAAAACAAAAGAAGCTACTCAAGGGAAAATAACGTGCGATATTCACTCAGTGAAAATTTACAGACGCGGCAGCCTCTGATTTGGATTACCAGAAGCTGGGGCGACTCTAAACTTTGTTACCCAGTGAAAATTTACAGACGCGGCAGCTTCTGATTTGGATTCCCAGAAGCTGGGGCGACTCTAAATTTTGTTACCCAGTGAAAATTTACAGACGCGGCAGCTTCTGATTTGGGTTACCATCAGAAGCTGGGGCGACTCTAAATTTTGTTACCCAGTGAAAATTTACAGACGCGGCAGCTTCTGATTTGGATTACCAGAAGCTGGGGCGACTCTAAATTTTGTTACCCAGTGAAAATTTACAGACGCGGCAGCTTCTGATTTGGATTACCAGAAGCTGGGGCGACTCTAAATTTTTGTTACCCAGTGAAAATTTACAGACGCGGCAGCTCCTGAATTGGATTACCAGAAGCTGGGGCGACTCTAAATTTTGTTAGGGCAGAACCGACCTGCGCCGCGATGCAGTAATGGTATCCTCTGATGGCCTCCTCGACGGCGCCCCTGGCCAGGTAGCACTGCGCCAGCTTCAGGCTCAGGGCCACGAACACGTTGCCGTACACGTCTCCGCCAGCTGTATATTCCAGCAATTAATACAAATTTGTCATAAGATCGGGTTCAAAAAATCGGATCCCTTGTTGGATCAAGTCACAAATAGTACAAGAATCGGTAATGGGCCATAAGCCTATTTCTTCTGCGCCGACACTTCTATTCTATTCTATATTCAGCGCCCGACATTAAATGCCAACTCCGATCATTTAACTACAAAGAACAGTAAATTATTTATACCGATTTTTAGGGTACTATTCGATTCATGCAGTTCTCTTATTAGCAACATTAAACTACCAATAACATAACACAAAAATTCATCATTGTATTATGACAGTTTTCCGAAGGTTTTCGGCATTACCATTAGTCCGTTGTTTCAACACTGATTACAAAATGTGCCGCATAATCTTCATATAAAATGAAATCAACTTGTGTACATTATTGCATTAATGAGATTGATGTACAGATATTTCCAGAACATAGAAAAACCGTATTATATTTTAGGCGTCAAAGCGCCAGGTCCTTGTTAAACATCTATTCTATGTCCTATTTTCGATTTTTAACAAGCATCTTGTCTTATATCAGGACGTGTTAAGGGTCGCACTGTCACCGTGAACTTCCATCAGGGTCAAAATTGTTCATTATCTGTAAGTGTTTGATCAGCGAGCAGAAGGCGGTCAGGAAGAATAATCTGTCAGCAGACTGAGGAGAAGAAAAAACAAGGAAGGGACAGGCGGACATCGAAACAAACGAAACTTTTTTATATGTAAGAAGTCACTTACAGGACGTGTCGGTACTAACCGACACGTCCTGTTAGTACGGACACGTACTAACCCATTCCCACAACACCCGGTCACGCATCGCGACAACGAAACGGATTCTCGTCTTGAATAAGAAAAAGTACCAAAAGCAGGAGTCTATGTGCAACACGTGTGGATATGAGTTGGCCAAATGCAAGTTGGTCTACACTTTACAGCGAACTCTTCCTCATTTGTGGGAACGTAGCAATGTAATAAGAAATCTCAAAATCGCCGCAAAATTTATAGATAATACTGTACTGCGAGAACAGGTACCAGTTAATTTTTATGCCTTCAAAACTGAAAGTCGACCCCAAGGAATAGACTTCACGAGAGAAACTCGACCTCCAGGAATAGTCTTCACGAAAGAAATTCGAGCCCCAAGAATTATCTTCATGAAAGAGATGAAAGAACGCAGGGAATTTGGAGGCTCGGATATGCCCGCGAGAGAGAGGCTGCGGCCGTCAGGCAGGGCAATATGGTCGAGTGGCACGGCGATATGGCTGCCAGAGAGTAGGCAATGTGCCCGTCAGACAAGGCAACATGGTAGCTATAATAATGGTATGGTAGATTTCGGCCAAAATATTTAGCCGAAAGGTAAGAATATTTGGTCGCTAGGGAAGGTATGTCCGCTAGGGAAGATGTGGCCACTAGGGAAGAAGATGTGGCCGTTATGGAAGAAGATGCGACTGCTGAGTAGAAGGTATAGACGCCTGGCAATAATGCCATCACCCAGCAGAGAGAGACCATAAATGTCTGGACTTGTACACACCGGCCGCATGCCGCTGCAGGACGCTGCGGAAGAGCTCCTCAGCCTTGCGGTGGTCGCCGAGCTGAAGGGCAAGGTTGGCCAGGATGTCGAAGATATAAGTGACGCTCTGCTCGTCCTCCAAGTCCTGGGCAGCTTTGAGTGCCACATGCAGCAGCATTTCACTTTTCTCATATTCTTTTTCCTGAAACAAATTAAAGTGCATTAAATTATGATGTAATTTGGAAATTTTCTTCACGAAGGTTTTGGTTAAGACCAGAGAATAATTCTTATCCACAATTTACGAAGTAGATCAAACTACAAATGAAAGGAGATCTATCTACACGCGGTGCCCCAAGCCTGCACCAGCATCGTCATGGGGTGCCCCAAGCTTGCACTATCATCATCAAACTATTATACTTCACTATCTCTAAAAAACCCTAAGTTTGAAATTTATAATCGTAAAATGAGTCTTAATTTGTCAAATTGAGGAAAAAATTATAAAAAAATGTTAATATGAATTATGCACCTGGTCTTCAATAACATCAACCAGAACTTAAATATTCAGATGACATTAATTTTTAATTCTTATAAACCAATATTCATCCTAATCTGGAACATTTCTCACGTCAAAAGCAAATGTTGTGAGAATGAATTCAATGGCCAAGCATTTTACTCAAACAAACAAATGAGCTTAAGCTTTATCTACTTCAAGTCATTTCTAATAAACTTTTTCTCATTCTGATACTACAAAATATGACAGAATAATTAATCTAAAGCAGCAGAAATAAATGACAGTTTCAAAACTCACATGGAAAGCAATGATGCCTTCTTTGATCATGAGGATGAGAGGAGACTCTTGGTTTAGTGTTTTTTCTTCATCTTTTTTTCCAAAAAAACTTTCTAGAGAAATCCCCAGGAAAGCAAAAGTAAAGCCATTCTTAAGGCACTTTTCCTGAAGGGACTCTTTCCTGTCATGGCGATTATTTGAGTGGGAGTCATGTTTGTAATTATTTTTTTCTTCACCACCAGCAACTCCATGTAACAATTCATTCCTTACTCCCAAGCTCCTAAAACAGTGGATTTTCTGAACAAATAAATCACCAAATGATAAAGTTCTCCTGGAAACTCCATTCAGTTTAACACAAGTTTGCAAGCTGCGCAAAATAATCATGACTGCAAATATTATTTAAAGATACAATAGATTCCACAGAACAATATCAGTCAAATAATTAGCATTAAAGCCTCATGGCGAATCAACAAATTGAAAGTAATTGCGGCACTAGTTCCTTAAGAGACCCAAACATAGAAGAATTGTCAACAGGAAAGCCATGTTGGCTACACTGTTCTCTAAAGTCAGGAGAAACAAGAGTACTTTGCATGCCAGCCTTCCTGGCTCCTAGATAGTCCATTTGAAGGCTATCACCAACATGTAGCACCTCACAAGGTTTTAAATCAGCTAACTGTGATATACTTAACGATTGCTTAAAGATACCTAAATGAGGCTTAGAAATCCCAGCACTGTATGAATCCAGCACAAAATTGAAGTACTTGGCAAACCCATGCTCAAGTAAAACTTGCTTGATCCGAGGATCTGTGTTGGAAATCACACCAAGAGCAATGCGCTTGTCACTGAGACACTGTAATGTTTCTTGAGCATATGGCAGTGCAGTGTAGGCTGGAGCATGTGCGTATATCTCTAAGGAATCCTCAGCAATTGCATGCAGGTGGTTTCTATTGATATCAACGCCACTACTTTTCAGAGTGTTCAGCACCACACGCCTCCACCAGTCCTTCCAATCTTCCCGTCCACTCCCAAAAGTTGGAGACTCCACAGATTGGGTCTTGTAAGATTCTCTGCCAAAATTAGTTAACATTAATCCAATTATGCATAATAATAAATTTTTCTTATCATTTTCCTTTAATTTTTTTGAAAAATATAGAGAGATGGACCCTAACGATAATCAGCCCAGGTAAATGGGAAATTTTATACAACAGATTTATAATAGACTTGAAAACTTTACAGCAAATTTAGACCTCTGATTAACTCTATGGTACCTATTCAAAGATCTAATTTAGGGAATGAAGAATCCTAAATGAATCCAATCAAAATTTTCAGCTCAGTGAATTACCTAAGATTTTTGAGTTTATATGCATATTCTTCAAGAGCTCTCAATGAATTTTCAAAGTCATATTTTGAAACATACAGTTTTTAAACTGTGAGTAATTCAGAGTTAGTTATATTTATAGGTATATATTATATTTATATCTGAAATACTATGATGCAAGCAAAAAAAAAAAGTTCATGAAGAAATATAATGTGTGAGGTGGCTATCAAAGAAGCTTTTATTTAAAGTTTCAGATCAGCAAGTGATAGGTAATCAGATTGAAACGCCATGTAGAGAACTGTAGACCGTAGAGAACGTATCAAAGAATTAAAGCATACAATTCATTTTCTTAATTTTTACATTGTAAGCTTGCATTTACAACTGGAATTGGCTTTTGTTTGAGCACCCTTATGTCAATGGTTAAAATTTACCATTGTCTTGAAGACAATGGTCATAAAAATTTCAAGCATGAAAGAAGCCAAGATAGCAAGTAGAATACAGGAAAAATTCCCAGCATGTTATTAAAATTAACTCAAGATATGGCATGGTTAGCTACCTGAAAGCAGTGCCCAGCACAAGAGGATCACACTGGTAACCGTACTTGGCAGCAATACAAGCATACACTTCACCTGGGTGTGATGCAGTTAACCTGCAGAAAAGAAGTTTATATGAAATATAACATCAGGATATCTTAACAGAAATTATTACAAAAATCATTTCAAATATGAGATGGAAGAAGAGGGAGGATTATTAATCTCCATTTGTCATTTGAATACTGCAATTTAGTGCAATATACACTTATTCATACATGACCATCAGCATTGAATTGATGCAAGTTATACAACCAAAATATGAGGGATATAAATATCAACATGAAATCAAAACTTGCATCAAAATTTAAACTGACCAAGAAATTAGACAAGAAAAGTGGTTGGCCTTGCAGGTCTAAAATATCATTCACCTAGATAGAGTTTGTAGTCATCAGAGGTAATGAGCTGCATCATAGTTGAAATGAATTCTTAAATGCATTTATCAAAACCCTCATTTCAATAGTTTCATTAACATCAAAGATTACTAGTAACAACATAATTCCATCAAGTTGATGTTTATCAAATTACTAACCTCAGAAGAGTTCTGTTGACATCAAAGGTTATAAGTCGTATCATAATTCAAGAAATTCTAGAATTTATATTAGTTGTTTGCTTAAATCGCAAATTAACTAAGAATTATAAGGTGATGGAGCTGGTCTCCAAAATGTTTTCTATAAAGATATGAATTTTTGATGACTTTTCTTTGCTTTTAAATTCTTAAGAAATTCTAGATATCAATATTCTTTTCTATCAAGCACACTAATTTGTAAATGAGTCTTGAGACAAATAAGCCTTAAGATGGTAACTTTTAAAAAGAACTTCATTCACATACAGTAACTACCAATATCTGTGGTAAATAAATAGATATGGTAGGTAGCAGTTAGAGTGCTCCCAACACCAGAGTGGAAATCTAAGATTAGAGGTTCACTTAAAAAAAAGCGTTCCGCCTTGAAAAAAAAACGTTCCAGGCAAGTGGCAACTAGAAACAGGTTTGCAGGTCGTCAGAAATCGGCCTCGGCATGAACGTTACGTCAGGCAACACAGAGAAAATCCCAATATTGTTAATTGTGCACGTCACTCACGGATAAGCAAGAGGAATCTACTGAAAGACACGTTATGCTCAGTAGAACACGTTGTGCTCAGTAGAAGTTACAAGGTCGCTACTGACACCAGTAGAAACTCATCACTCACAGACCACAGTCAATGATGCAAGCAGTTTTTTTTTAAAGAAACAGCTGTGGCATCTTGCAGAGACTCATCAGTGATGATGATGGAGTGAAAGTGGAAGTGTGCTGGACGTTCCAGATTTTTGGGTCCTGCTTTCCAATTTGCTATGTTTACCAGTTAATATATTACCCCTCTGGATTTCCACACTGGCTGGACGTTCCAGATTTTTGGGTCCTGCTTTCCAATTTGCTATGTTTACCAGTTAATATATTACCCCTCTGGATTTCCACACTGCCCAACACGGTAACACCCAACTCCCATGACTCAACACTCAACAGCAGTCAGCAGTGCACTGCATATGATGATATGAATATGATATAGACAGTAGACTGAGTAGAGTGCTATTCTTTCCATTATTATTAGATGCATTTTAGCAATGGAAAATTTATGCATTAGTATAAGATGAATTTACTTTAGTCAACTTAGGATTAAAAGAGTGAATAGCAAGATAGTGAAGACTGAAGATACCAGCTTAGGTACTGCTTAGTGCTTACCAAGCCAGTAATTAGCTTCACATCAAAGTACCTGGAGCATATTAGTTGCAATTAAAGAGGAGGCAATTGCATTATCAATGCATAATAATGATACTATCTAGATTCCAGCTTTCCACTTTCCAGGAACAACACAAAACAGTCAACCCTCAATTTCTCAAACAAGATCATCTCAACAGTTCAAAAAATACGGCTGTACCAGTACTACCATACTTATACTACCATTCAAGGGTGTTTCTAGAGTCTAGACTGGAGGTATATTCTATTTCAGAAATCGTTTCCAAGCTTTAGAACCGAAAAGAATATTTAGAACCAAAACCTTTAGTTTCCTCAGCCACAATGCCACTGAGATGCATCGTATTTTAGTGAACCTTTTTTCAGCTCAAAACGTATTCAGGATCCCCTCTCTGCCTGATGAAGTTACACTGTCGCCGGCGTTCACAAATTGCTGTTGTTGTGGCTGGCTTGAGCCGCCTTGAAGGTGAAGAAGTAGTCACACTATGACCAGCACTTGTTAGTTGTTACACCTGGTCTCAGCAGGGTTTCAGCGTTGTGATGAATGATGATATCTTTTTCAGGTGTCGTAAAGGGCCCCATACAGGTCAGTTGTCACTCCTGGACACTGCAATTTCAATGCTTCTTTTCAAGTTTGCTTAGTTGTCACTGGTTTCTACTGTTTCAACTTCCAAGTGCAGTTAACTTGGCATGGCTTTAGCTTCACGATATCGTCCTAATTCCCCAATGACCCTATCCGGCATCCGCATCCGGTCTTCTTCAGTTCAATCCGGCCGCCGGCCGGCAATGTCTTCAAAATCATTCAATGATCATTGGGGGTTTCATCGAGAGCGCAGCCGTGCACCACCAATTTTCGCACTCCTACATACTATACATATTTACAACTGGACTTTTAACTCGTGAAGAAGACCATAAACTTTCGAAAATATACAATTTGGCTAGGATGCCGACTGAAGTTGAAGACTTTCTCATGTAAATGGAACTTAATTATTCGAACGAACATCATCCAAACTTCCCATCGCATTAATTTATGTAATCTTAATTCCTCATATTATTCACACTAGAAGTTCTCGATCAATAAATTTAATTAAAATCCTATATTAAATCCTATAAATCCGAGGTCCCAGAAGGATTACTAGAATTTGAAACAAGAATCAACACTAGGGGCCACGGCTATAAACTAAAAAAACAGCGTTGGAACACATCCATGCGACAACATTTCTTCTTGCTTCGAGTCACCGACATGTGGAACAGCCTACCTGATAGCATCGTTGACGCTCCGAGTATGAACATCTTCAAAAACAAAATGCCTAGCAAATTACGGACCAGGCAATAAGTCCAGCAGCTATCTCAATCAATCGTCAGCTATGGAAAGATCGGGTTCCAAAGGCCGGATCCCTTGTGAATCAAGTCACGAAAAGTTCAAGAATCGGCAACAGGCCATGGGCCTATTTCTTTAGCGCCGACACTTCTATTCTATTCTATACGTTTTTTGACTTTTGCCGAATACTTACGGGAAGTAAACGAAATAGTCCACAATTGTCATCGCATACGCATACTATTGTACATATTGTTTGACAAACTTAAGTTTGACAAATTTGAACAGAAAGATATTTAACTTAAATTTGAACAGAGAGATATTTTTTTTAATTTGAACATTCGCCCAGATATTTTTTCAGGTGTTAAATTTATTCCACCCCTAACCCTCGCTATCTTATCTTCAACAGCTTTTGTGTATGGCATTAAGTTCTTTATTGAGGGATTTTCTTAATTTGTATAATGATTTTTCGCGAGAAATTTTCTTGCTGCTATGAATCAGATTTGCGGCTTTTTTCGCCATTAACTTACCGCTTCTAAACTGCATTGCTGTTACCAGCTTCATAATTCACAATCATAACAAATATTTTCTGCTGACAATCTATCGGCTAAATGCTAATAGCGTTTACTGTCACTCAGGCCTCGGCGGTCGTAACTAAAGAAAATCAATATTCAAAGAAACATGATTATCGATACAAATCGATGAGGACTACTTAATTGTTGGCTCTAGATGGCAAGGTTCTTATTTTAGATACAAAACTAAAAACTCAAACGCAAAGCTGAGAATATTCTCGAGTAATTCCCTTGTTTCTTACCTCACACAGAAGCCCATAATGTCGTGCGTTTCTTCATGCCATCTAGAACGCTATAATCGTAATATTAAATCCGAAAAAAATCGAGCTAAATCTCAACTATGAAGTGAAAACCAATAGCTAATTAACGAGCGGTCACGGCTTCCAGTCCTTGCCGCTTGACCTGCTCAGGTCAACCGAGTGGATAACATTATTTCTATGGTAAGCGTTCAGAGAATGCTTTTTCTTGCAGCACGTCGCAAGCAACGTGCCTGTAGTTGAGGTCAGAGGAGAGCGATTGCAAGTCACCAGTCGAAGTGCGGACATCGTTCAGTGCAGAGGTCACTAAGAGCCGCTTGCGAGAACAAAAAGTTGCCCGCCATTTTCTAGTTGAGTTGCACACTGGTCTTAATTCCTAATAACTGTATTGTGGATTGTATGATTTGGACATCCAAAATGCTTCAAGTGTACTTCAAGTCTCATTGAAAACTTCGAGTCTCTTATTGCGAACTTAGCGCATCTAATTGTGAACTTCTATAGTCTGAATGTAAATTCGAGTGTCTGATAGTAAACTAAATTTCGACTGTATGACTATGAACTTCAAATGTCGAATGATTCGAACTGTTATAATTACGCATAACCTGTAACTGCTATGCATATGCAACCATAGTTCATGGCTTGTTATTATACTAACAAAAAATTCCAACTGAAAATTATTAGCAATATTTCCCGGCATTTTTACAACTTCTCGAACAATTTGCGGTGTCCGACACTACGGCAATGATGTCCACAGATAACATTAGATTTTTTTCTTCACTAAGGTTTCAACGTGAATGAATCTTGAGCCGGAAGAAATAAAACTTTACCTGATAACATTGTCATATGATTCTAACATCTTTTAATAGTTACAGTCAGTTTGTATAGATCTCTATTTCATTGACTTGAATAGAGGCAGCAATGCATTACGTATATCAGCAATTCATAAGGCAACAACATAAGGAACTGGTAGCTAACGCCTATGACTCCGCTGTTCTGCAGCTATTAGGAAGAATTTGAACTCATTTCATCTGGTAGAGTGCAAAAATACAACTTTATTTGGATATAAATATTTGTAGAAATTGGCATTAAGCTATTCGTATCAGATTGTTATAAAAATCGGTGGCTGTTGCGCTTAAAAAATTAAAAAATAATGGTTTGTAAGTCAAATGGAAAGCTTGAACGGGCTTCAAATAACCTAATGGGAAAGATGTGCATGGCAGCCTCAGAGAGGATATAGAGATTTCAAATATATATTGCATGATTAACATTTAAAGCCATATTTTAAATGGTATCTGGATGAATTTTATTGAAAGCTTTATCAGAGATAAGCATGCTACCATCGCATACGAATATGGAAACCTCCCAACAAAAATGTGAACTCATTACAATTGGTATAGGTTTAAAGATCGACATCTGAGGCCATCTGTTTTTCAAATGTACTAATGCTACAATAGTTTTATTACAATATTTTTTTCTCTAATTTACCTTTTATTTTTCTACATTTTTAATGTCATATAATATTTATCGCCGTTAACTATTTTGCGGACTAACTTTTCGTACATGAGCTTTTCGATGCAAAATTTCACCGGATCAGCTCAACGACTTCGGACTTTTTTTAATTATAGTCGTTTGAACGGGTGTGATCTGAACCATTAGCTGAAATGTGGACCTGATTCTCTTGAGTGATTTTCCATAAGTTAGGATCATTAGTACAACAACTCGACCACTCTTTCAAATCATCGAAAGTTAAAAGAAAGAAAGCAGTGGCCCAAGGCAGGCTTAACACTTGCACCACATGAAGTTTGCCCCGCCCCGACAGATACACAAGCATGCATGCTAACGTGACGCAATTACGTGGACTCCTTTCACTACATTCACGTCACGTTCATGTCACAGGCACGCGCGAGTTCCGAACTAAACTCTTACTAGGTTGACGTAGATGAAACCATAAAACTCGGTACGCCGCTTCTCTATGCTAGATAAAATGCGACCACTAGAACGAACGCTCGGAGTTATACGTTCTTCGGAAGAAATGAGATCACGCAGCTTCGAACGTTTTCTAAGACTTTGAGCATCCCCCTCTCTGATAGCTCAAATGACAATTAGTGGATTTGAAGTCGAAATATTGGCTTAAAGTTATTACGTTAGTTCTGTACAAGAACTTGAAATTTTAAACGAATTGTTCCTTCGTGAATAACTTCCGTTACTTTCTCCACTTAGAAGACCACAACTCGCTCTTCACCTTGAACTAGAACGTGTGTAAGGGAGTTCAAAATAGCTATTTTACTAGTGGCGGGCCAATGAACGTGGAAATCAAGCTGCTGCCGAAATACATACAGTTGACGTAGTATGGCCATTTAAAATTTGTAAGTGGAATTCCTGCCGTAAAGGTCAGAAAAAATCAAGCAAACCTGAATGCCGCGTGCTGTTTGAAACGTCGGTTATTCGTTCGTAATCAATGAACAAATTTTTCACGTACAGGTATAATAAATGAATTTTTTATTCGAATTTGGTTTCAATCTTAAGTCACCGAAACGGTGGATGAAAACACTTTCTTCCAAACTTCATATTTTTGCTTGAGGCTGCAGTTAACAGCACTAAAACCTTACTTTATAACCTAGAAAACCATAAATGAAGTTCAAAGTTGCATTTTTTGGCTGACGGTTCGCACTGAATTAGTTGGATACGTGTCGATGTACGCGCGCATTGCGTAACATGGAAGAGATGAACTTCAACATGAAATTATAAGCAAAAATTTAAGCATAGAACACGATCATTGATTGGCATGTGTGAAGGCTGTGACGACTGTGGGACGACACACATTGTAACGGAAATGTGCGGCGACTACGATTGCATGATGAATTAATAACATAACATAATGATGTCGGCGCTGAAGTGTAGGCCTGATGTGGCCTGTCGCCGATTCTTTTTCTTTTCGTGCCTTGTTCACAGATCATCTAAAATCGTGTCATTTGACCGGATCTTTTCATGACTGACGATAGTTTGAAACAGCTACTAGACTTACATCGGGTTCGATATTGTGCTAGGCATTTCAAGTCTGAACATATATTTTTCCATAGCTTTATCTAGTCTGTTCTTGAACTCGTTCATACTAGGAGCGCCAACTGTGTAATCGGGGAGGCTGTTCCACATGTCGGTGATTCGAAGCGAATAATGAATTATTTATCCATTTCATTCAACAGGACAATTTGGAAAATAAGAAAACAATACATCTGGAAATGTGGACAAGTTCGCTTCTTCCGATATTGGTAAGTGTATCAATAGTTTTTATGAAATCATATCGTCCACTGGACACAATTGATTTTTTAATTTATTATATATGAGATTTGTAACTGCTCTAAGAATGTCGCTGTTCCATTTGATCAGTGTTTTACGATGTTCCTGATTTCGCGTTTATTCCTATGACAAATTTTTTGCGTATCTTTTGAATTTTTCTTCATTATCATAATTAAAAAAGCAATTGACTTCGAGATTGCACTCTATGTTAAGCGTAACGATATTGTGAAAGCGTTTGAATTTGTCAACAGGAGAATATATATCTTATGTGAAAGCAAAAAATTGACACAAATGTTCTTTGAAAACAACCCAGCAATCGACTTTTTGTAATGATAATAAAAGTTTTGCGACTAAAACTCAGATTAGTGAGATGAATCTTCGTTTTGATTCTGTCCTGCTGGCCTTTTCTAGTTGAGTTTGCCATGGTAAGGTCAACTACGACGACACTGTACACAAAAAATTTCTACAGTGAAACTTAACAATATAGACTAGTTGTCAAGGACCTATGTTCTCATTCAACCTTGACTGCCAGAACAGTATTAGAAAAAGTAATTGGATAAAGTCTAGTACAAATTTATAGCACCTAACAATGCATAAATATTGCTAAACTTACCAAAAAAGACGCTCATCATAATTCAGTTGTTAAGGGGGAGCTACAAGACATTTTTTTAATAGGCAAGAGAGTCGCAGCATATCCGGGGGCTGACATGAGTCGGACACAGCATATGCAGGGGCTGACATGAGACGGACACAGCATATGCAGGGGCTGACATGAGACGGACACAGCACGTTTGGTGGCTGACATGAGATGGACACAGCATATTCGGGAGGTGGTATGTGATGCACACGGTATATTCGGGACAAGATGAACTGCCTTGATAAAAGTGCCAGGCATATCTTCGTCCAGCCAGCGATATTTTCAATGAACTTTGTACATTACTTGGTCGAGTTCCGATCCTGCACGATGGAGTGCTCTTCTCTTTCACCCAGTAAGGTGGAACCGTGTAGCTTCAAACGGACGGTGCCAGCGTGAGAAGTCCCTTAGCTGTCTGTCTGTCACTCGTGCCAACATCTACATGATCACATTGGAGAATAAGATCCAAGAAGCCAATTTCTAGATATAGAGTCCTGTATTTATTGCCGATGCGTCGACGTTTGCTTCATATATATATAGTTACTCAATCCGTTCGTCCCTCATACAACTCAAGTATAGACATTATATTCCAAATCAGAACTAAAATTCACTTTAAGAATTCGGAACACACAACAAAATTTATTTCTTGGATTTTAATATCAAGCCACCGCTAATTTCATGTTGACTGCATACCAGAAGCCCACAAGCAATGGCATTTACCTCAACGCTCGAAGTGAATGCCCGCTACAAAAATAATGTCATCAAGGCGTTAATCCACCGCACTTATATACGGTAAAATATCATCCTCTTCATGACAGAAATTCATGACAAACTCCTTAAACTCGAGCTATATTTTATCAATGACTTATACTCTAATTAACTCCTCGACAATATTTTGTGCAACTATCTCTCAAGAATCAGACACACAAAAAGAAAAGATCTAATAACCGATGAAAGGAAGCCCGAATTCCCTCATGATGAAAAGAGGAATAACAGAGCTCCACGGTTACCAACCTTGGAGCAAACCTATATCAAATACGAATACGCGTCTGTTTTGGTCTACGGATCGAAGTTAGAATTCGTTCCAGTGGAATGGGGAGTTTCTCAGGTTTCCGTATTAGGTCCATCTCTCTTCCTGTTGTAAATAAACGACCTACCGGAGACTCAAGGTGAGTGAGCTTGGAGCCACCTAATCTCCATTGACATTGGGCAGCATGTTGACCTGATTCACTGTGCCAATGAGAATTGGTTTTCAGGAGCTGGTTTCATGGGCAACATCCAGTCGGACTTGTGTAGATCTGTGTATTTTTTGCGAGCAGAATGAACTTGAAGTTGACCGGCCTGAAATCCCAGAGAATTGCGGTGAAAGTGACCCGTAAATTGCTATAGGGCCAAGCACTACATTTATGAGGTCCTGAACTTTGTCTCAAATTTAAAGTCATTCAACAGGCAATGGCTCTCATTCATTATTGGGCACCGCTCAGTAATGAACTATAACATTGATGATAAATTTTAATTTGATGGCAGAGATATTCTGTGAAGTATTCTGAGACCGGTTACATCCCAGTATTATGAGACCGGTAACATTCTTATAGTATTGTGAGACCTGCAACATCCCAGTATTATGAGACCGGTAACATCCCAGTATTGTGAGACTGGTAGCATTCAAGTATTGTAGCATCCCATTAACTTTACAAATGCTGCTGCCGACCATTTCCAAAAATATGATCAGCTCAAAGGTTTGCATAGTCAGCAAAGTTGCATCAGGTTTTCTTCATGTGATACGATGACTTCTGAAAACTACCTGTAAAATCATGTTAACAAAATAATGTTATGGTATCTTTATTCGAATTTAATTTGTACAGCTTTGATGAATATTGGTTTAAAGTTTAGACCGTTATATCAAAGATTAATAAAGTACAACGAGAGAGAAGTAGATAAATTATTTAATTTTGGTTAGAACAATTATTTGGTTTGCATTTGCGCTTTGTCGCCCTATTAATGTGTTCCTGTCAGGCATAGCTGCTTTCAAATTGATGTATAAACTAACGGGTATGTTGTTATGTGATTTGCGCGTCCAGTTCAATGTTTATACTTTTTTTATGGCTACAGAAACTATTTCTCAAGCCAATTCAATTCATATCTTAATGAAAGCATTAACATTCTACTTCTTTGGTCGACCTCCACGAACACATAAAAAACCCAAATTGGTTTCCAAAATATTCGTATAGTTTTGGTTCCAATAGAATAACATACAAATGATATCGTTGTTCAACCATCCATGTCGAATGTTGCTTCGCAACAGAATTCTTGAAAATTTTTAAAAATTCCTTGCAATGAAATGATGTATTCGATTTGTTTTTGAAGCAGTCAACATTCATTATTAATTCGAAACGCGTTACTGAGCGCCAGCTTAATTATGTACTCGCTTCAATTTAGCATAACTACATATAATACTAAATGGATGAATAAAAAACAAACATTGAATTCCTGACTATTACGAAAGGTAAACACCAGAACAAATGATCTTTTAAAATTCAAAATGCCGGGTCAATATCGCATCTTGCACAATGACAATTGAACTATCAAGTACGACAAGATCTAATGAACCAAAAGGTTAAGAATAGAAATTTTATTGCATTGTGTCAAGGACTACGAAAATCATTTACATGAATAATAAACAAATTTACGAAGAACCTATTCAACTCATAACGATCTGACCGCAATCGTTCTGTATCAGCGATAGGCTCAATGACTCGACGAAATGCGTGTGTACCTCAGTCTGCACTATAAATCGGAGCACAGGCATACGGAGAGGTCACGTAGAACAAGTTTTTAGAAATTTTGTAACGCTTGTTAACCTCCGCGACAGCGAGTGAAATCGCGCTAAGCTGCCGTGGGTGCCGTAAACTCTTGCCTAGTCTTAATTAATTGGCAATAAAGTCTTGCCTAGTCTTAATTAACTGGTAATAAAGTCTTGCCTAGTCTTAATTAATTGGTAATAAAGTCTTGACTAGTCTTAATTAACTGGTAATAAAGTCTTGCCTCGTCTTAATTAACTGGTGTTAAAGTCTTGCCTCATCTTAATTAATTGGTAATAATGTCTTGCCTCATCTTAATTAATTGGTAATAAAGTCTTGCCTCATCTTAATTAATTGGTAATAATGTCTTGCCTAGTCTTAATTAATTGGTAATAATGTCTTGCCTAGTCTTAATTAATTGGTAATAATGTCTTGCCTAGTCTTAATTAACTGGTAATAAAGTATTGCCTAGTCTTAACTAACTGGTAATAAAGTAATGCTTCGTCTTAATTAATCGGTAATAATGTCATGCCTAGTCTTAACTAATTGGTAATAAACTCTTGCTTAGTCTTGAGTAACTGGTAATAAAGTCTTGCTTAGTCTTAATTAATCGGTAACAAACTCTTGCTTAGTCCTAATTAACTGGTAATAAAGTCTTGCTTAGTCTTAAATAATTGGTAATAAAGTCTTGCTTAGTACTTATTAACTGGTAATAAAGTCTTGGTTAGTCTTAATTATCGTGCATTTAACTCATGTTTAGTCTCAATTATCCAACAACAAAATATTGCCTGGTTTCAATTTATGGCAGTGGGCTCCTGCTTTGTCTTAATTATCTGGTAGCAAATTTACTGACAGCTTATAAAACCATTTTAAATTTGGTACCTCAAATTTATTTCTTGAATGTATTACGCCCAATGTGCAAGTAATAAATATGGGAAACGTATCCATTAAAAACGAATCGATTTATTAATTTTGCGAACGTATGCGAAACGTTGGAGACTCACGCTCACTTCGCGTCCGCTTATTGATGACACTTGTGAATGTCATCGTCGGTAGGGACATTTTTCCATTAATACATGATTTTCTTATTGTGCCGCAATTTATAAATGAATAGCACAGCTACTTCTCCTACATTCTTAAATTTTAGTTACGAAGCTGCTTGATAACTCTCCGATCGATCAAAATTTATTTTCTACAGCTAACGTCAAAACTGATTTCCCGAAAACTCCTCTTTTCATTATTTACAGTTCGTTATAAAACAGCTGACTTTTAAAAAAGGCAGACACTTGATAATTTTTTAATGTTTTTTAAAATGCAAGACTAATATCCATTTTTTCATTTGTCCCATGCATGACGTACTCATTAATTCATTCACACGTTTGTCTAGGCCTGTGTTTGGGCGCTGTGTGCCAGTCTCGCCCAACCAACTTCTGCTCTCTCGATCGACTCGTTGCACGGCACAACCCTAGACAGCTTCTCACGGCTGTCGTCTGACTTCGGCAACCAAGTTTTCTTCAACCTCGGTCATCCCCTGCAAGACACGACGTCGCTGAGCAGCAGTCCACTACACGGAATCTCCCTGACTGGCCATAAACTTCACGACACATCATTCCCCATCTTTCCATCTTCGAAGACTTCACTTATTCAGTAAGAAAAAAGTTTAATATATACTCCTGAACTAAAAATTTGATTACAGAATTATTTCTGTTGGTGTAAACAGTTATGTTTTCTTCATATAAAGTTTGGAATTCAGATAGTTTAACCTCAATATGAGCCAATTATTGGTTCTATGAAAATAAATGATTTATCATGTGAAGACTGACAACAGTTCATGGTGTACGTACGCAATTGATTAAATAACAGCCTACATTTATTCAGTTCAGATGATTTTCGGTCACATACTTAAATACTTCCCATTTCAAAAATTTTCGACCGTTTTTAGGTTAAAAGAGATTTTCTTTCGAAAATTTTAGCGCTAATTAAAGGCTTTTAACCTTTTCAGAATCTAAAGCTGTATTAGCTCTGCATGGCGAAACTAAATAGAGCGTTCACTGTAGTGGCATACTACATAGAGCGCTCACTGTAGTGGCATACTACATAGAGCGCTCACTGTAGTGGCATACTACATAGAGCGCTCACTGTATAGTGGATAGGCGTCTAATTCACATCATACATTCCTCATTAGTTGCACCTTTAAACAAAACAAAGAACCACCTCGTATCAATTAAAACTTCATCAAAATTTTAGTCTAAAAAAAGTGGGGGGCGCGCTGCCCCACGTTACCCTACATTGCACAATCAACACGACTCACGATGATGGCTGGGTGCCGGTAGTTGCAGTGTTTGTGTTAGTGCCCTGACATTTGCGTGTGCGAGGAAAATCATGCGAAACGCGGCCATTTCTCTCGCCTTTGAGTACTATATATATATACCACCTGATGAAATTGACCAAAAAAAGTGCGATGTTATGAGAAGTTTTATATTTTAATCATTTTTGCTTGAAACATTGTCAGGGTAAATCAGTGCATTAGAAGTGCTTGTGTAGCTGTTTTTCGGAGAAAAGGAGTGTATTATATAATGAAAACCGTGCGCGAAGGGATTAGAACGCTTATCAAATAATTACATAAGCGGGACAAATAAAGGAAAATCTCGTTGGCGCCACGTCGCGGTGTGAACATAATAAAACTACATAAAAATTTTATTGACTGCTATGTTTCTTGAATAATTTTCTTTAGAAACTTAACAAACCTAATATGTCTGCAGAAAGAAATTGTCTTTTTGAATTACCGTAAGCGATGCTTCACAATCCATTTCTTTCATCGTGCAATTTTTAAAAAAACTCTATAAATCTATAAATAACAATTCAACAATTTTTTTGCAAGTCATGCAGTTTGATAAACTTATACGTGTTTTTGCAGCGGGTCACGCGACCATGACGAGAAAGACGACCTGCCAGACGCTCGTCGCGCCGGACGTCTGGCACTGCAGCTGAACCGCCTTGCACTCGTCGACAAGGAGGAGCACGATAACTATATCGGTCAGTTGCATGATTATGATCTGTTAACTTATAACCCAGACTAATTCATATTTGCGATATCCGTTGAGACATATTAACTTTAGGCAAACACATTTGATTCCTTAAGAGCTTTGCAAGTATTACTTGATGTAGCAGTTTGGTGATGTGCTGGATATCATCCAAAAATGAATGGCAACTGGAACGTCTTGACGTAAATTCAACATAATTATAAACAATTAGCATGAATAAATTTGTTATGTATTTCCTTTTTCAGCATATCATGTACTACAATTTTTGGGGGAAATAAATTAGTTTGATTAAAATTTTAAATAATCGGCAGCTTCTTGATGTTTATATTTGTGGCTTAGCTGCAAACGTATAAATCAATAGATATTTAATATCCGCGTAATTTATGGCGCATTCTAAGTAAGTTTCCCATTAAAAGAAATGATCGAAAGACTTTTAACATCAAAGTTCAAAGCTTCGCACTCATAAAGACAACATACCAATTGTTGGCTCAGTTCACTCACTATCGAAGTTGAGATTTAATTTATCTTGACGCATAATGAAATTTAAAAGTTTGTATACATTCAATGGTATACATGAATCAAGCTTTAAGAATAAATCAATCAATTATAGGAGACGTGTGTTTGAAGAGCAGGGTTCCGGCTTGATAATTTTTGTTGGTAATGTGAATGAGAAACATTCGAACAATCAAACGTAAAAAAATTCAATTGTTATTTACATGTTTGTTTTCATAAATTAGATTGAAGTCTACTGCAAGTGACTAACATTCATGAAAAATGACCTGAAACGGTTGGAAGTATCTGTAATTGAACTTTGGAAGCACTGTCAAAATAAAATATAGGCTGTAATCTTTAGTACATGAGCATTTAAAACATGTGCAAAATATCCGGTCCCGATCCCCTGTTAATAAAACTCGATCTCAAGCCCATGAAGCTCCTTATAAATTGGTAGCAAAGGGTTTATAAATGCATGGAGCGGGGCACCAGGCACGAATGACTGACGTATACCATGAAAAAAATCTGCAGATCTTAAACTAGTGCCATGGCTTGCTTATTGCACCTTGATTCTCAAAACGACTAATTATAAAAGTTTTCCGTTCAGATTTCGAGATAAAAGCCATGATTGCTGTGGTACCTTGTTCAATTATTGCAAAACAGCGTAAAATTGTTCTCAAAAAATTGCTTTTCTCTTAGTCCTACTATATATTGTTCTAGTAACAGAATATTTCCTTCTGAACAGAATTATCTAAGGTGTAAAATAATATCTGCATAATTAATCCCTAAGCTATCACATGTTCTCTGTTGCAGCCGCGGGGGCGAGCGGCGGGACAAAGTTCCCAGTACACCTAAAGGGCGCCGCTCTACACACGAAGCTGCCTCCTGCACATGCATTGGGAGGATCCTTCTCTTCAGTGCATCACGGTATATAGAGATGGTAGAGATGTATATGTACGTATAGATGGGTAAAATTTTTTAGATTTGCCTAGTGTGCTGTTATCAAATGTTTACATTTGCCAAGTGTACTGCTCACTTTGACAGTACGCATCTCCCGTCCTTCCCACGAGCTCTTCTATGTGTTTGACCTGATGGAAAGGAGGTGGAGTGACCTGATGGAAAGGCGGTATAGAGTGATTGCTTGTTAATTACATGATCTGTATTGCCGACGGGAAAGTGAGTGCTGCTCTTATGAAATGGGTATGACCTGAGGAAGCAGATTGAAAAGTTTTCATAGTGACGCAAAGCCACCGACCTGCGCCTCGGGAGATTGTTCATGGCCTATTATCGCTCAAATGAGAGCAGGAAACAGCGACTGATAATCAGATGACGGAATATAACTAACTATCGAGAGTAAAAATGGCTGGATATATGACAAAATTCATTGCTCATTGAAAGAATTCGCTTAGCCTGATCTCATTCATTTTGCTATTATTCTTCAATTTGTGCCCCGACAATTTAGTGTAATGCCGCCCCGACATTACACTAAATGCTGGTCGCAGACAGATGCTTCAGCTAATTAGACGAAACAATAATTTAAAAAAACGACACAAGGACTTTCATATTTTGATTTTAAAACCGAAAAGATCTTGAAGCCGTTTTTTAATACAAGAAAGCATTTGATATTCCATTCTGTCTAAATAGCACAATTATTTAAAGTCTCTGGTTTTATTTTATTCCAACATTATCGAATGGTCTTGCTGGGTCCAAAGTCTTTAACGCTTCAGTTATAGCCAAGTCATTTCAAGTCTCTGTTATTATATTTCCTTAATACAAATTTTAGATTTGGTTTCCATATTGAAATATGAGTGTTGTTGCCAAAGCATTTTGAAAAGAAATTATAAGAACTTGGGAAGTACAAAATTATTCATGGAAACCAAAAGAGCTTTAATAGCTTTCGGAGAAAAACTTCTCGACTAAGTCTCTTATTCTTTTAATTTTTATTTTGTGTATGATTTTCTCTGGTAATTTCAAAGTATTAAGCTTATTTTACAATTTATATTTTGTTAGTAAGCTTAATTTCTTACGCGTGCAATTATTTTTACATGTAATCCTCATTTTTGAATACTTATAGTTGTTATCTCGAATAATACTGTTATTATATTAAGCGTTATTAATCTCCATGCACCAGATTAATAGAGAACCAAATACGCAATGAAATTCAACCGCCGATAGTTACACAACTATTATCTTAGATTAAGTTTAACAAGCAATTTTATTTCAGATCTGGGCTCCGGATTTGACATAGACGCGGACGATGCTGGGTTCGGCGCTGCAGGTTGGCATTAGCGGCGTTGTCCCGTGCAGCTGGCGAGGAATCGGAGGCATCTCAGGAAACGATTCGCTAGTCCTCTGCAGCTGACAAATTTGCCTGAAAAAGTCCACTGGAAAACTTTAATTATTTCCTGTAAACTTTGCAAACGAAATACTGACCCGGGAAAGCTTTATAGCAAGCTACGACCGAAAGTGAGAAGTTGAAACAAATGAACTAAGTTTGATTATTTTTCGGTTCCTTACAGCTTTTAGGTTTGAGAGTCTATTGACTATGCATAAAAAATACTTCATTCTTCAATTACAAGTAAATTAGGTTTTACAGAAGCGTTCATGCAAGAAATATCCTATTAAGATTAATTTAAACATGAAAAATTACCATACAATTAGCTTATTTGTTCATGGGAGAAGAGTTTTTTGTCTCACGACTTTATATTTAGTTACCGCCTCGTAGGTTATGTTAGTTTCCGTGCTGGTATTGTCATGCAGGATCTAGAGCAATATTTACCGCGCATACCTCGCGGAGTTGCAAAAAAAAAAGAAAAAAAATAGTTATCTGGTAAGCGAAAACAAGTCGCCAACAGCATTGGAAAGGCCACGCGGCTGAAATTTTGATGTTATGCCATCTCTATTCTAGCACAATCGTAAAGCCATGCTAATTTTATTGCATTTTCAAATGTTTATGCATGCTAATTATCTTAATTTATCGAAAGTTGAAGGCGAAATAATTGAAAGTACTTTTAATGAATTCTTCATAGATATCGAAGATTTATAACCACAAATTCTAACACGCCCAAAGTAAGAACCAGGATAAGAGGCTGCGCATTAACAACGTCTGAAGGCAGAACCAGGATAAGAGGCTGCGCATTAACAACGTCTGAAGGCAGAACCAGGATAAGAGGCTACGCATTAACAACGCCTGAAGGCAGAACCAGGATAAGAGGCTACGCATTAACAACGTCTGAAGGTAGAACCAGGATAAGAGGCTGTGCATCCAATTTCCAATGAGCATTTGCTCAAATTTTTATCGAACAACATTATTCTGAGTGAAATTTGTTTAAACTCTAAATTTTTGACGAAAATTATTATTTTTGATCAGGATCAACGCTATAAATAGACTAACTTAGAGTGCAACAGAAGAATTTATTTCATCCAAATCATTCCATGCTTGTGCTCCTACACTATCACAAGATGTTTGCATTCCGTCTTCCGTTCCTGTCAACTCAGTAATTTGTCTGTGTTTAGACTAAGATACGCGTCTGTCATGTTCACATCAAAACTCTTCTAACAAACAGAATTAGAATATTTTTACCCAATAAATTTTCTATCAGGCCGTACAAACTTTACAACGGCAGTTATTTAATAAAACTGCTTACGTTGTAACAACAGTCATGTACAGTTTCGCGTTCCATCATGCGCTGGAATACGTACAAAAGCACGGATCCGAGTTTCACGAATTGGCGGTATCCATGTAAATTTTAAATAAATAATTGTAACCTCTACCTAAAATTATATTCCCATATTTCGTAATGTATTCAAGAGCGATGTTAACAACAACTAAAAGAGGTAGTTACATCAATAAAACCTCGCTTAAATAGCTAGAACTTAACCTGATCATTGGAAGCAGGAGGGTTGTGATCAATAAAGGCCAATTCTTCTCGCCGCCTGATCACGCACTTATGACTATGTGAGGTTGAATAAAGACATTTTTAATAGAGACATTAAATTTAATATTTTATTTAATAAAGACCTCTATATAACCACCAGCTTATGACTCAGTACAAATAACCATTCGAACATATGATCCTCGAAATTTACCAGTGAATTTTGCATTGTATGTTTTTTGCCCAATAAAAGTGGGCATTTTGCCCACTTTTACTGGGCTTATCAATTTATAATTTTTAAATTTGATTAAGTTCTACGTAAAAGCGTTCGTATATTCTGATAGTGCTATGAAAATCTCTTTTTCTCTGACAAAAAAGACTCAAAAATTTGCGAATGATCATATGCGCAATGTAAACTATACAAGATAAAATATGCGTTTCTATCAATTGATTTCAAAAGAAAAAACAGCTCCCATAAAAAGTGCAAAAGAATTATTTAACTTGGTAATATATAGATCCATTGTAGCACACATACGCCCTATTGACTTAAAGATTTTCTTTTTTTTTATCTGTATCAAGAAATTGCATCAATGCTCATATAGTGTCAAGGAGGTCTTGAAAAACCAACTCGCTTATGGAAAGAAAATATGAGTTTCTCCTAGCATGCAGGAACGGTGCAGAGTTCCCTTATATTCGATAGTTTAGAAAGCGTCTATGGACTTTTGGGCTGTGAATATTACTATTCTAATGAAATTTCTTTTAATTTAAAAGAAAATAAACTTCCATATAGCAGCAGTTTTTATAGAAATATCGTGGAGCGCTCAAATGTAACAAAATTGTATTGGGGATGGATCAAACTGAGGATAATTGATTTCAAAATGTAAAAAAATACATCACAGCAAAAAAAAATCGGCAACGCAAAAGTTCTTCAGTTATGGACTTTTAACTATGGAATTTGCGAGACTAATGCGGTTTGGAAGTTTCCGTGGCGCTTACCTCTGTTTATTGCAAACCCTGAAAACTCAAATGAAGACTCAAGTTCGCTATGAGATGAAAATAATCACTTAATATTCTTTTTAAAGTCGTCGATATCATCATTAAAGTATGAGACAACGTCATGCATCTAACACTCAAACTTAAAGGATCACCTAGCCAATACCCAGAGCTGGGCAGCGCTACTTTGAATTGTAGCGGTCGCTACCGCTTCATGCTCTAAATGTAGCGGGCGCTACAGCTACCGTTACATTGCTTTAAATGTAGCGCCGCTACAGCTACTGCTACTGAAAATGTAGCGGCCGCTACATATGTAGCGCGCTACTGCCCACCTCTGGTAACAACTAACATGTTGACACTAGTAACAGGCTGAGGTTGACAACATTACACCAAAATCTTTCGTACAGTTTTATTCTGTAATTTATATTATGTATGTATCATGCTGGTTTTTAAATAATATTTATTACTATTAGGTAAAATCTAAAGGCTTTATCTATAAATGTAGCGGTAGCGCTGTAGCGGCAAAACCTCGTATCGCTACTTTAATATGTAGCGGGTGCTACCGCTACCGCTACATTGCTTGAAATGTAGCGCCGCTACCGCTACCGCTACATGTAGCGCGGTACTGCCCACCTCTGCCAATACCGTAATATTCCTGTTGAAAAGAAACTTTTGACCTCGGAATTTGTGACTGTACATGGACTGAAACTCGCTAAGCGTCATATTTCACTATCAATTTTAGTTCAATGGTAGACTGCGCAAGATACGTAAAAGAATAACGCAATTGAGGTTAGATAAAGAGAGAAGCATGTGACTCTATTAGTTTGAAAAGAATCTGGTTAGCATTCTGCAAGAACACACTTATAGTTAAGCAAAGCAAAATGAACGAACAATTTTTCTTGATCGAATTTCTTATCTATGGAAAAAAATAAAAGATAACACGTGATGACAATCGTTCGTAAGTGAAATTACTACGTCCACAAAACTTCGAATAGGTAATGAATACGCAGCCGGAAGCTAAATCAGATACTTCAACTCCTAACACGCAAAACGAGAAATTCATGCCATATGTTCTCCCAGAACGCTTCTATTTCCTTGCCCCAGGCGACGACACCCAAGATCAAAGCAAACCTTCACAACCTGATCTTGTTCACAGATCAACCGGCAGACGCAGGCGAGTAAAACACGCCCGGCAGATCATCTGAGTGTTGTCATTTTCCCTCATGGGTTCTTTGATCTCCACAACGACGCCATATACAGACGTCTGAGCGTCTTTTTATAGGCAATGCTTTTCAGTTTGAAGAGCTCCTTAGGTTCTTCATTACTCGTAAATTGCATGAGTTGTTTTACATGTACTGAGTGTTGAGCTTGAGCAACTACTCGTATTGAGAAAATGAATGTTAATCAATGAACTCCTGAGAAAATTCAACATATGCCTTTAATAAGTAATGGCGTATCTTTGTGAGGGAAAACTTGAAAGGCGAAATATAAAATATTCTTATATCAAAGATTTCCTTTTACAAGTTTTATTTATAGATAAAAAGTATCACTGTCATTCATGATGTAAAATTTGCGGTCAATTATTACTCTGAAAAAGATCCAATGCCACATATCACACACATGGTTCGTTTATGTTGTTATGAATCGCTCTGAGAGTGCAATTAAATGCGTGTCAGTCCTCGTATATGAATAGCCTGACAAAACTTGCTGGCCAACTACAAGCCAAACTATCAATACCGTAACTTCTCATAAGCTTTGAACAAAAATAAAGTGATAAATCGAGATTCACTTCATTCTTAACAAAACTCTGAGCATAACAATGAAGCGAATTTCAGTTGCCAGGAACGCGGGCCTCCAGCTTACACGTCGGCAAGTTGAATTACGTATCAGCATTAATATTTGTTCTTTTTACGTAGCTCTTAATAATGGGATCTTAGACACGCAGGCTCCGCTTATACACAACATACATTACTATTTATTACCTATAAAACGTTCTCTTTTCCATCGTATGTACATTGCAACAAGTAGTCGGTAAAAAATATTCAAGGTTTAGTAAACTCACAGTGAAATTATTTAAAAATGTTTTTCAAGTGAAAATATTTTAATATAATTTTTTTGCTCAAGGGCGAAGTAGATCAACAATGCTGGGTGGAGGGTTTTATGAAATTTTTACAACGAAACAATGGCGTGCAGCTCGATTTGGTTACTATTACTTACTAATTACTATAAACTACCGAAACTATATACGAACTGACCAGCACATTATTCTGCATGTTTGATGATAATGAGGAGTGCGTGCCCGCTGCCATCTCTGTTTGTGCGTGTTGTTTAAAAAATGAAACAGGTAAGTAGGTAGGATAATGGATAGAGAAAATGTGGAACAGGATAATTTAGGAGGTAGGATAGTGGATGGAGAAAATGTGGAACAGGATAAGTGAGGAGGTAGAATAGAGGATTGAGAGAATGGAACAGGATAAGTGAGGAGGTAGAATAGAGGATTGAGAGAATGAAACAGGATAAGTGAGGAGGTAGAATAAAGGATTGAGGGATAGTGAACAGGTGATGAGGAGATGTATGTTATACGTGTGTTCGGGTATGGATTAGGTGAATGAATGTCCCAAATCGGCGCGTGATAGGACTCAATGGACCAAACAATTGGATGGATCATGTAACGGTGTATGGGTAAGATTTCGAGGTGCGACGAGAGCACCAGGCGTGGGGACAGGGCCCGCCGAGGTGCGGCGAGAGCACCAGTCGTGGGGATAGGGCCCGCCGAGGTGCGGCGAGAGCACCAGGCGTGGGGACAGGGCCCGCCGAGGTGCGTCGAGAGCACCAGGCATGGGGACAGGGCCCGCCGAGGTGCGGCGAGAGCACCAGGCGTGGGGACAGGGCCCGCCGAGGTGCGGCGAGAGCACCAGGCGTGGGGACAGGGCCCGCCGAGGTGCGGCGAGAGCACTAGCAGGCGTGGAGGCGGCGCGCGAGGTCGAGTGTCCGGACCGCTGGTGCGGTACTCATTGTGTGGCGCAACAAACCTGCGGTCCCTTGTGTGGTGTTCCTCTGATCTGTCGAGTGCAGGTGCAAGAATATGTATAAATGACAGAAGAAACACAGGAATGTGTAATGGTGACAGTGGAAACACACAGACTTGTGCGAGGCTCTGTCTAGTGATGCAGGTGTGATGACACCACACGCCATACGCAGTCCGTCTGCTAGGTGACGTCACGGCTAGTTTCCATGCTCCTACGCTCTATTCATTTCCGTCGTGCTTATCAATAATATATTCGCTTCAGAGCTTATTATATTCAGTATTAATTACCAGATATATTTTATTGCAAGTTGCTCGACCAGATCGGACCATTCGTTCTCTTTATTCCCATCTACGCATTAATAAATTACC